AACTGGGTCTGCTACACCTCTAAACTGGGTCTGCTACACCTCTAAACTGGGTCTGTTACACCTCTAAACTGGGTCTGCTACACCTCTGAACTGGGTCTGCTACACCTCTAAACTGGGTCTACTAAACTCTAAACTGCGGCCCAGATGTGCAAGTAATGTTAAGCACTAACAAGATCCAGTTTAAAACTAAAAGTAATGATTTGAACAAATTAGTTTAGTCAAACTTCGTTCTTTTGACCAATTTCCGCACCGTTTCAAACCATTTCCTGCCAAGATAGTGATTCATATCCAACCCTATAGGCTTGTGTCCCTAGAAGGATATGTTACCTCATCTCTTTACTATACTAACCCAACTACACCCCCCCCCTCTCATGCACTCTTGAGCAGAGAAAGTAAACCTTGCCAGGTTTATTCTGCAGTCTTCTGCACTCAGTCTTATAGTTCATTCAGATTCTAGCATTCTTACTCATCTTAGTTGATCTAGCTCACATTCAACATCAGTTTAGAATCAAACTAGAAATACATGATATTGATATTTTTAAAGCTTTTTGGAAAATAATCCAGAAAAAATATGAACTAAGAATGTGAATACGATAAGAGAAATCGTTGTTATTTATAACTGTTGTATCCTAACACCTGTCTAGGGTTTAAGCCATTTTTTCAGACGAGTCAGTGATATTTTAACACATTTATAATTGCTTAAAATATATTCTCAAGACAATTTGTTTTCTTTTTCTTAGTAACTTTTTCTTTCGATATCTTTAAATCTATGAAATGTCCTATCTATGAAATGTCCTATCTCTGAAATGTTTTAGCCTCCGAAATTTTCTATCTATGTAATGTCCTTTCTATGAAATTGTATTTGCTCTGAAATTTCCTTTTTATTTAAAGTCCTTTCTATGAAATGTCCTTTCTATGAAATATCCTTTCTATGAAATATTCTTTCTATGAAATATCCTTTCTATGAAATATCCTTTCTATGAAATGTTCTTTCTATGAAATATCCTTTCTATGAAATGTCCTTTCTATGAAATGTACAATCTATAAAATGTCCAATCTATAAAATGTCCAATCTATAAAATGTCCTATCTATAAAAATATCCTATCTGTTAAATGTAGTACCTATTAAATGTCTATCTATAAAATATAGAATGTTTAGTCGTGAACTCAAAATGCTGGAACGTTTTTATGTTAAATAATCATGTACATTTTTGCAGGAACAATAAGCTTAACTTATTACAAGAAAAATTGACGCAAACACCCTGCAAGTGTATAGCAGTAAGTTGTACTGCAGTAAAATAAGAAAACTTCAATCTCAAAACAAATTAAAGCTTTCCCACTTCGCTTTTCATCTTGTAGAAATATTACAGACAATTCAAACTGTTTTCAGAAGACCAAAACAGCTTTTTTACCGTTTACATAATAAACTATAGCAGACGTAACTTTATCATGCCTTGTGAAATCATGCATTACAATGCTAAATCTCAACAATATAGCGATCTCAGAGGCGTCACTAAAATCCTATGTTTATTGGGACACCCTGCAGGCTGCAGTGTACTATAAATTTTAATTTACCGAAAAGTGAATATAGAACACGATAGTGAACAAAATGGATGTTTTGATTATCATAATTAAATCTAATTATTACATACACGCCCTACAATCATAATTAAAATATTAACATTTAAATAGATTTTATCTTCTAACCAAATCCACACTTTTTAAATATCAAGCGTTTTATGTTTATAGATTAATATTATTTTCTAAAAGTTTTCTTCGATATCTGATCTTAGGATTTGTCAATATGTCTAAGTTATCCCTAATTACATTGGGGATATTAAATAAATATTAAATTAATCTGCAGATCAAACATTGATCTCTATATCCACAATACAAGAGTTCCCAGATCTGAGCTGGGAACTTTAGAATGGTGGATATCAGGATTAATGCTTGATCCACTCTTTTTTTTAATCTCCAGATTAAATATTTCTTGTTTTCCTCATGAATCTAATCTCCAGATTAATTAACAGATCGGGATTAAGGATATCACATTCTAAAGTTTTCAGCTCTGCTCAATTTTTCGAGAGAACCTTGAATTTCAGTTTTTAGTTAAAAATAATAGGCTTCCGATTAAATATTTCATCAGACAAAAAATTAAATATTAAATACCACATGCCGAATTGACAGCTGATCAAACAGATCGAACCAGATCTTCATTCAAAATTTAAAAATAGAATTATCAAATAGCTACTTATTAAGAACGTTGTAATTATCTTGTTTTTTTACATTTTAAATATTCTATACAATGATCCGGGACGTAGTCTGACATAGTTTATATAGATAGTAGGCTTGTCTGTACTTTGTCTATTTGTATCCAATAAACGTCAAAACGGCCCAACCGATTTATTTGCCAGTCAGAATAAAAAAGTGTCGATTCATTCATGAAAATTCATTAATGAAAACAGAAGAAAAATGACGGCTTACATCTAAAACTGTTATTAGAAAATCCTAGTGATTAACATTTTTCAGAAAATAATGGAGGAGGAGGGGTATATTCCTGAGGATGAAATAGAGGAGGAAGAGGAGGAGTTTGATGAGGAAGGATTAAGATTCCGTTGGAAGATATCAACCTATTCTCTCTCCGGACTAACAATTCTCCTCAACCTAATTATCGTCCTAATCCTTATCTTTAAACGTAACCTAGGATCTACTCTTAATAAAGGTAAGACATTTTGTCCTTCACTTCAGTTTAACTGATTACTTCACTCAGCTCTCTTGTTTTCTTTATTCCATATTATGGAACAATAGAATTGAGTTTTAATCCATATATCTTTGCAACACAATGTCGTAGAACCTGCATATTTCAAACTTTGAAGTATGCTAGATCAAATAATCTAAGGTTTACACCATCAGGTTGAAAAGATAATTTGAGTTTGTGGTAAAGACTCAATCTCTTTTCACCATTACCCCTGGATTCATTATCATTAATTTTTCTATAATCTTGGATTCATTTTTTTTCATTAATTCAATCCCTTTTTTTCCTAAATTCATTTTTTAGATTGAATATCTTAGAATAAACGTAAGTTCAAGGAATCCTCTATTTGAACGAGCATGTCCGATTTAAAGCAGTACCACTTAAACCTTCACTTTTGTAACAATTTGAAAGATATCATTGTTTTTCTATCTGTAAACATGTTGAATTTTGACAACCTTTCCGCAATTCACTTTTATAGAGAATCCACAATTGAAAATAATCAATTGTTTAGCAAAACAAATTCCTTAAAGACATGATCTAACAAATCCATCGTAAATCGGACATTCCACACTTTTTTACTTTCTTATTTTCAGTAATTTTTCTGGTTAGTTTGGCGGACTTGGGATTTGGTATGTGTGTAATACCATTCTTTGTTGATAACTATGTGGAGAATAATTGGAACTTTACACAAGAGTTCTGTAGGTATTAAATACAGTGTATACAGTGTATCTACATATAAAATAAATTCAAAAAAAGTCGATTATAAAACTAACTTTTTCTAAACCATCCATCTATTTCAAAACTCAAGAGACATTTTCAAACTTTAAATATTTTTTTCATGATTCACTTCTAAATCCTAATCAAATATCACTTTAATAAACCAACTATATCAAGTTCACATCCCCTTTCTTCATTTTCACAATTTAGTTTTTCCCCCATTCCTTTGTCCGGTCTCTTGTTTATGTGAACATTCTACAATCCTACAGCTTTTTATTCTCATAAAGAGAAAGTCCTGTCTGTGTAATGTTAACAAGGAAAAAACAGTCAATTATTACAAAAAACATTAACTAGATTTTTCCTGGAGATGATCCAAATAATACACCTTATAATTTCAAGAAACAGATGGAAATTAAAAGCTTAAAAACTGACTTTGATTTGTTTTTTAAAGTATGTAATAAAGCCGTCTTTAACTTTAATAACTCTTATTTATCTCAAAAACAAATTATAAACATTAGACTCTCATGTCAGAATATATCTTGCATTAATCAAGGGCGACTAAAAACTCGTCATTAATTTCACAGCCTTAGTAATTTTAACCCTTATCAGTTTGAAAACCTTAAAATTAAATAGCCGGAGCTGAAAACTTTAGAATGAGATATCCTCAATCCCGATTAGTTTATCTGAGTATCCAATGGGCAATGGTCACACTTTTGATTTTCTTCTTAAACCGTTTTTTCTTGGATATAGTTATAGTTATAGTATTTATTTTCAAACACAAAATACAAAATAATAATGATAGTAGAGAAAAATCAAAAACAGGTTTTTCTAAATTAAAGAGTCCCTCCCGTTTCTGTATATAATCTTAAATGGCGCGCAAAATTTCAAATTTATCGGCTTCATATACGCGGCTCTGATTGGTTTAATTTTATACACTTTTCAAGATACAACAACAAGATTAGGTTACTTTCGATATTAAGAAAAAGAGAGGATCAAGCATTAATCTCGATATTGACCATTCTAAAGTTTTCAGCTCTGAGAATACTATTAGACATCTTTTATAAGTATACTTAATTTCGCAATAATTTCTGTAGAATCGGTTGCAAACATAAAACACAAAAGATGTTAAATATATCTTATTGCACTTATATGATTTAATTATTGTTTATATATTTTAGATTTTATACGTTCTACTTCACATTCCACGATCTTTTTCAAGCTCTGAGTTTAATATTCGTATCTATATACATATCCTTTAAGTTCACAGGTTGGTTTCTAACATTTTAAACTAAAATAATTTCATTTTTTATTTGAGGAACACAACTTTAAACTAAATATTGATAAAAGTATTATACAATTTGCCTTTAACATATATATTGTTACTAGTAAATAAAAAAGTGTAATTTGCAAATTTTTAAAATTTGATTCAGAAATAACGAGAATCTAGTAAAACACAGAAGCCTCATTTTTTCAGATTTTCCCAACATTATTATGTCTGATTCACAACGGTGCCCTTTAAGACTCTATCGTCAATTTTCTAATAAAATAAATTGTTAAATTATGTTAATTTCATCTGAAGAATAAATGCGCAATTGTTACTTTCATAGAAAACCCACACTCATCCTTGAAAGGGTACAATTGTGGATTGGACGTAATACTCTAGATGTTTGGTACTTTCCCAAAGGCATTTTCCCAAGCGGCAACTTCCCAAGGGTAATTTCCCAAGCGGCAACTTCCCAAAGTCTCCCCAAGTCTGTTCTTCCCATGGCGCTCGGCCCTCTAGCCCATCCTAGCCGCAGCGCTCGCCCTCCCATTGCAGCCTGCGGCGCCTCATAGGGCCTAATCTAACCTTTGAGAAGTTGCCGCTTGGGAAATTGCACGTTTGGGAAGTTGCCTCTTGGGAAATTGATACTTCGGAAGTCGCCCTTGGGAACATGCCTTTGGGAGAGTACCCAACACCCTACTCTACCAATGTAAACAGTCCCTTGAAATCCCAATTTCCTCCAACGCCTAATGATGTAAAAGTTAAAATGTTTACAATGTTTATTCTAAAATCTGGGTGTGGATAACCTTTACCTTTCTTCAATCAAAATATCCCAGATATGTTTAGAATCTTATTCAAAGACTTACATCTGAAAAGAACAAATACATTTCTCAGATTACAACAGTACTCGTATCTTTTCAACGACAAAAATGGAAATTTAAGAAAAAAATTTGAATTGTCGGATGAATAGACCAACTTTTTTCGATTTTACCAATTTTAGTTAGCTTTCAAATTTTAAATTAAAATTGGAATTAAATTCCACACTCCACAGCCTTATCCTTTCAAAAGTTTTTTCGTTCAGGTCACAATAAATTCTTAAATGAACATTTGCATCGACCAGACAGTTTGAAATTTTTCACGTTTTTAAACCCATGTTTGCTCCCTAGAACTATATTGTTGTAAAAAATACAGTCTTACAATGTTTATATCATATATTTAAACAAGATACCCCTACATCAACGCAGAATGAAACGTAACTTTTGTTTAAAGACGAGATCAAGAATAGTCAGACTTAAAATTTTTATCTCAGGAATGTCTGTAAACACTGTTGGATGGACAAGAACAAAGTTGGGAATGAGTCTCAGCATTGTCGTCTTCTCTATTCTCCTCGCACTTCCGGCAACTTTACACGCGGGAATATTCCAGGATCCAAGCAGCCAGCAAACTTTTAAACAGGTAGATATGCAAAATATGAAAGTTAAGATTGATCTGAAATAAAGATGGATTTGATTATAGGAAATAGATAAAAAATTACGTTTTTTGTGACCACATTTTATGTTTTAATTATTGTAAATTGTCGCTCAATTTCTCAATTGTTGCTATTTTTTCCCTCAATCTTGCATCTTGACTTGAAGATAGATTATAAAAATTTTGATCTACGCCAGGGCCTAGGGTAGTTTTACGTTATTTTTTATGACATTTCTCAAGGACGAGTTACCAAAAAGAATTTCAAAATTATCTAACCTAACCCAAGTTAATCATCATCAAATAGATTATCAAGTACAATAGGTGGCAACAGAGAAATGGACCAATTATACACGACGTCAAATATAACAAAGAAAACGAAATTTTCTCACATTAGTTGACTTGTTTTCCAAGATTAAATAAAAAAGTGCAAAAACAGAAAATAAATAACAAATAAAATTGAAATTATTTCACTGTAAGATAAGCACTTTATTCTAAAATTATCATTATTATTAATAATTTTGTCGGACACAAAAACTAAGTTGACACTTGTGACGTAAGAATTCATCTGTACTGAGAGTGTACAAATTCCGCGTTGCCATCTATTGTATCAGAATCTACTTGATCATAATCAAAATATCCTTTAGTTTCGCTTTGGACAAATTTACATTTAGTAAACTGTAAGAAATGGAAATGGAAAGTAATTGTTTATGCATTGTATTTACTATTTAAACTCTAATAAGATCTTAAAATTATGTAACACCTCTTACCCTGTTTTCCTATATGTTTGTAGGAGTGTCGAACCCTGGATATCTACACTATGCCGATCACCTACATCTTTTCCTCCTCTATTCTCTTTTGCTTCTCTATGGGGTTCCTGTTCTCCCTGTGCATCCTAGGATCTCCCCTCCTCAAGGGAGCATATGATCCAGAGGAACATTCGAAAAAATGGAGAATAATTCTCACACTCTCCGTAGGTAATGCTACGTTATATACATCTTGTTGTTTTCTTCAAATTAAATGGCCTTGAAACTCGAAAAATTCTATCTCTGGCGTTAAATATTGTACTTGTAAGTCAAGTCTCTTATTCCCACCAAGCTATGAGTTTGACATTAGTAAATAACGAATGCTTGAGATTTTATAATGGCAAACAAACTTGTAACAATAGATATACCATGCACCTTTGCTTTTGTTTTGAGTTTGGTATTGGGTGGGTTTTTCATTTTAATTGCAAAAATACCACAACCTCAAAAACCAAATAATGAAAACTCGGGAAAACCTCAAAAATGTCTCCTCCTATACGTCCCCTCTTTTTAAACTCTCCTTTTTTTATCCCAAAATTTCCTCTCCTACTTTAATTTAACCTCTATATTGATCCCACAATATCCTATTCTCCTACTATTTAACCTCTCTATTGATCCCACAATATCCTATTCTTCTACTATAATTTAACCTCTCTATTGAACTCACAATATCCTATTCTCCTACTATAATTTAACCTCTCTATTGGTCCCACAATATCCAATTCTCCTAGTCTAATTTAACCTCTCTATTCATCCCAGAATATCCTATTCTCCTACTCTAATTTAACCTCTCTATTGATCCCACAATATCCTATTCTCCTAGTCTAATTTAACCTCTCTATTGAACTCACAATATCCTATTCTCCTACTCTAATTTAACCTCTCTATTGATCCCACAATATCCTATTCTCCTAGTCTAATTTAACCTCTCTATTGGTCCCACAATATCCTATTCTCCTACTCTAATTTAACCTCTCTATTGATCCCACAGTATCCTATTCTCCTAGTCTAATTTAACCTCTCTATTGATCCCACAGTATCCTATTCGCCTAGTCTAAATTAACCTCTCTATTGATCCCACAATATCCTATTCTCCTACTATTATTTAACCCTTCTATTGATCCCACAATATCCTATTCACCTAGTCTAAATTAACCTCTCTATTGATCCCACAGTATCCTATTCTCCTACTATAATTTAACCTCTATATTGAACTCACAATATCCTATTCTCTTAGTCTAATTTAACCTCTCTATTGATCCCACAATATCCTATTCACCTAGTCTAAATTAACCTCTCTATTGATCCCACAGTATCCTATTCTTCTACTATAATTTAACCTCTCTATTGAACTCACAATATCCTATTCTCCTAGTCTAATTTAATGTTTTACTTTCCTTGTCTTATTTATTCTATTCATGATTTATATTTACATTTAGATCCGGTTTATAATCAAAACAATTGAATGCAATGCAGTCTGGTTTATGTCTGTTTTCTTGATAGATAGATAGATAATGTTTATTGCTAAAATACAGGGTGTCCCACATCATATTAGATCGTCAATCGGTCTAAATTACGATTTTCGGGACTAATCAGAAAATTTAAGAAGAATGAATCATTTTGAAAAATTGAATAAGGTTAATATAAGAATTTTCTTGCGGAAAATGATAGGTTTTTCTAGTATTATGGGTTTATTTTGGCGTTAAAACTTGGAGATAATCTAATATGATATGGGACGCTCTGTACATGTATCTGTGTACAGAACGAGTTTACAATTACAAATTGATGATTATATTAACAGTATACAAGTATAAAGCAATTAGGTGGAAAATAGCTCTTGGCTGTTTTGATTATTTTTTCCAACTAATTTCAATAATGATTACAACACATTTCAATTAAATAGATTTAAGGAGAACTATTAGAGATCAGGGTGCAATTTTATCTTATGCAAAACTATTATAAATGTTAACAATGTACTCTGTACTTTCCGCTTTTGATTATATCGTTTTTGAGGTTATGGTATGAAGTTTTACACAATATGTGTGTAAATTTTACTTGTAAATAGTTTACTAAATATCCCAAAGAAACTCCCCAAATTAAAACCTCACCCCCTTCAAAAGCCTATTGTTGCGCCCATGTAAAAAAAGATATTTGTTTGCAGTGAACATTCTGTATATAATCTGTGGGTTCCTGCTGAACTTCAAGGAGATCTCCAGGTTCCTCTTCAAGTGCTGTAACATCATCAAACCCTTCTCAGGTAGCACTCAAAATGATGAAGGAAATCACTGTAAACACAGGAAAAAAAATTACATTTAGTTTAAAAGTGTTTCCTACCTGAGGACCTCGGTGTTAAAATGTCTTAAGGAAACAAATTTTAAATCTCTTTATTTATCTGCGTTGTAAAGATTATATTAAAATTTTAATCTTAAATTTACATATATTTTTAGGTTTTCTGTATTTTACTTCAAGAATATACCAAAATATCCATATTTTAGAATTGAACGACATCAGTTATGATGCTTGGAGTTTCTCCCTTCTCAGCTCCCGTACTATGCTCAGACCTGGAGTTTATCTTCTCTTTTATCAGAAATATCTACTGGAGAAACCTTACTATTACTAGAAATTAAACCCTCATGTACTTTACTATGTACGAAAGTGCAGTGTACGCGGGTTTATCAAAGAATGTTAATAAAATACAACTTTTGTTACGTTTATATTTCTGGCCAATTTAAATTTGCTAATTCAGTTCATATGACAAACCATATCATTAGAAGAAATTTTACTTTAAAAATATATCGATTTCTCAGTCTAAGTAATTTTATAAAAATAAACTGGTAGACCCATAAAACTTTGGAATAGGATGACGACTTTTAGACTCAAGTTATTGTATAAATTGTCTAATGAATAGGAAACTGAACAGCGATGGTGCAACGCAGACATGGACAATTTTCACATAAATTGATTTTAAAGCTATTTGTATTTGCACCAAATGCTCAAAGGGTTGCTTTAATGTCGTCTCACTCTTCCACAGTTTTACGGGTCTCATTGATGTAATGATTATTTTTACAAAATTACTTCTTTTTTTAAATTATGTGACTATTCTAAAATCCCTTGTACAATGTACAATGTACAATGTACTTGCTTATAAAATTAACTGATAACTGTACAAAACATGTAAATAATAATATTGTAAAAAGTGTGAGATTAATAACTAATAAATCGATTTAAGATGTTCATTTCATTAACTTTGCTTTCCTCATATTTATTAACCTGAATTCTCTCTCAAGTTCCTGAATTAATTGTTGATGAATTCAAAATTGAACTTGGATAAACAGATTCTCTTGTAGGCTTGTTAGAGGTCATCCATCAGCTCCATTTTTTACTTGCTGCTGTCTGCAGGGGGGAATATCTGTGGTAGTTCAATATGAAGACTTATTCTGTACTGACTGGAGGGTTGATACAACACTGACTGGAGGGTTGATACAGCACTGACTGGAGGGTTGATACAGCACTGACTGAAGGGTTGATACAGCACTGACTGGAGGGTTGATACAGCACTGACTGGAGGGTTGATACAGCACTGACTGGAGGGTTGATACAGCACTGACTTCATCAAAAACAGGAGGTTTTTATCTGTCATCAAAGAGGACTGCAGCATTGTATATGGAAAAAATCAAGTATTGGTAAGAAAATATTTGGTAGACTACCCTTAAACATTCACATTTACATATTTTCAAATTTTTATTTGTTAAAGGGAGTGACCAGCAATGTATGGTGATTGGACTGAATATGTAGTAATATTGTGGACAAATTAATTTGAGACAGATATAACGTTTCTACGACGGATATTTACGGAGTTTACGCTCAAAGTCTACGTTCAAAATCATGAATTTGGGTGGGTATGTTTTCGAATGGTTTTTTTTAATTATAAAGTAACGACGACAAAAAAATGGAAACAAAATTCTACAGTAAACTAATAAGTTTTTTAGGAACAGGTTGAGAAAATAAAAATCAACTCTTATCATAGAAAATTAGTAATCTTATTTAATTATTATTTTCTATAATCTCTCATTATTCACAAAGATTTTCTGGAGATTTTCTGGAATTTTTATTGAAAAGACGACATTTGAAGAATTTGTAGAAATCTGCATCTAATCCTTGCTGCTCCGCTAGGAATCACCATCACCCCGAACCATATTCTCCAGGGGTTCAAGGAATGTCACGGGGACGAAATCAACCTCAACACCCCCGTTCAACACCAATTATCCAGGTGGAAGATTGCCCTCAATACTTTCACTTCACTCTGGTCTCAAGAATATACCAGGCGGAGGTTAACCGTTGCTTGGAAGGAACAGAGAGGGTCACCTCAAGTAGGAGACATAGTTCTATTCAAGAACGAACCCATCTACCGTCATCCAATCTCAGCCGCAAGAGTAGAAGCTGTACTCTGCAGGAAGAACGGAGACGTCTACGGTGCAACCATCAGCTACCGCCGAGAAGTAGGAGGGCGGAAAATTACCGTCAACCGTCATCTGAACCAGTTGTTTCCATTCCTCGACGTGGAACAACAGCTCCCTCAGGAAACGATTAACGGGCTAGCAGCAGATCCTGTAGCTGAGAACCTTGCTCGGGACAGCTCCACTCATCATATCTCAGCCCAAGATGAGTTCCACACAGATCCTGCAAACCCGGAACAGTAAAAGTATAATCCCGGCGGGTACATTAAAATTTATCTTATATTCCTTTTCTTTTTTTCTTTTTTTGGTCAAATTAATCAATCCATTTAAAATCCATCAACCTTATTTACCATTTCGTTGCTTATCAACTTTCAAAACAAATGGAAATTTACCAATACCCGCCGGATCCACAGATCCCCGCCGGGAAACAACCATGAAACCACTCAACACAGGAAATCAACCAGTTCATTAAACATTAAATTCAATAATCGAACTATTTATTTAACATTCAATTCCTTCCTTTTTTTTCCATTTATTTCCCTCAAAGGAAAAACCTATTTACATGACAAGACTTTTAATTTGCCAATCAATCAATCATCAAACACCATGTCGTTTATAGTAATTTAACAGTCAATTCTCTGAACTACCCCTTAACTTGCATTTTATTTTCCATGATTTCGCATTTCAGTACCAATTCTTACAGTTCGACAACAATAATAATATTCCTACATGTAGTGCAAAATATGTAACTTGTAATGTAACAATCAATCAATCAAACCCACTATGTAAATATTTAGGGGATATGGTTCTCATTTCTTCTCGTCTATAAACCTTTATATCCTCGAACCCCTCCTGGGGCCACTGTGAACCATATCCCTAATGTAACCCTGTTTTAAAAGTCGTCTCCGACAAATTGTATCTCCGTTGAATACTCCGGCCACCCGCCAAACCAAACCTTGCCAAGGATTTTGCATAAATAACCTCATGGAGCTAATAAAACTTAAAGTGCATTAAAAGAACCCATTTAAACATAACTTTCAGTGAATCATTTACAAAATAAAGAGTGAAATTACTTTAACCAGATAAATATTCATTTCAGAAGAATTAAATTGCTTTAGACTTCAGTTCAAACAACTTTTTGGCCTAACACAGTTTTCTAGATTGTAAGTTCCATATACCTAATTCACTTAACAATACCTTTTAAACCTTTTATTTATCAGTTCACAACAGTGCCTTTAAACACTTTATTTAACGATTCACAACAGCAATAAAATATGATCCCCAAACCCTGCTAAACCTACTAAACCTAGAATCCCCAAATCCTGCTAAACCTACTAAACCTAAAATCCCCAATCCTGCTAAACCAATTATTCAATACTCATTTATTGATATTATTAACAATTATTATTTATATGCATGTTCGCCAATAACAATTTGTATTTTGTAGGAAACCTCGTTACTGAAATATACATTTTCAAGAAGTTCTCATCTATCTGTGTATGGTCGGAGAGAGTGTTTCCCTAACCTATTTGCCTTGGATTTGTCATTCTTCGAGTTACATATCCTCTGCCTCAGTACATCCCGCTTCGAGCAATTTACCTTTTTGATCGGCTCACAACCATATATATAAATATATATATTCAATATATATGTTTAACTACATACATTAGACATTTACCCTGATAAAGTAGTTTGCATTAAAATGTTTAGAGATATTTACATACAACGGAAAAGAGTACATTTGATTGGTAAATTTTTAAATTGATAGGTTATGAATTTAATTATTTAATTCCCAATTTATTTCAACGCCTCTAAAATTAACATTTGCTAGGGTATAGTTATACTACAGTCAAATACCTGATTTTCTCTAGAGGTCACAAAGTCGTCCCAGTAAAATCAAAACTGAAGGAGCTACGAGGTCGCAAAGTCGTACCAGTAAAATCAAAACTGGAGAAGCTACGAGGTCACAAAGTCCTACCAGTAAAATCAAAACTGGTGTAGCTACGAGGTCACAAAGTCGTACCAGTAAAATCAAAAGTGAAGGAGCTACAAGGTCGCAAAGTCGTACCAGTAAAACCAAAAGTGAAGGAGCTACAAGGTCGCAAAGTCGTACCAGTAAAATCAAAACTGGTGAAGCTACGAGGTCACAAAGTAGTACCAGTAAAATCTAAACTACAGTAGTTACGAGGTCACAAAGTCGTACCAGTAAAATCTAAACTACAGGAGCTACGAGGTCACAAAGTCCTACCAGTAAAATCAAAACTAGGAGTTACGAAGTCACAAAGTCGTACCAGTTGGCCGCTTCATAATTAATCTTAAATATTTGTTCTATTTATATATTGTTTAGAGCATTCCACAGAACTAGTTTTTTATACCTTTTTTTTTGCAAAATAACAAAAATAATATCCATAGAATTAAAAAATAATCTCAGAAAACTAGCAAAAACAAACCCCATAAAAACATGAAATAATCGTTGTGAAATTCAAAATCAATCTTAGATCTTATGGAAACGGGATTAGATTAGAGTTTGGGCGGGAAAATTGTAAAATATTTGTATTACCGTTCTCTGTTTGTTCCTAGACTCGTATGGTAATCAGGTTTTTCAGGTTTACCAGGCCTTCTTCCATGCTGGAGTTATATCTCAGGTGGGTTCAGGACGGTTCAGTATATGTCTAAATTATTTTTGAGAAATTGGTTAGTTTTGTTTTATTTTTTTCTTTTGTGTTGGAGAAAAATCCCCAATTTTATTCTCCGTATTTTTCGCGAGAAATCAATCAATCAACACATTTAATTTAATTTTTTCGGGCAGAGTAATAACAGAAATCGTAGAATTGAATTTTAAAAAATTCAAATTTAAAATTTCCCCTCCCATAAAAGACATATATATTTCCAATTTGAAATTCTCCCTTCCCAAAAAAATTAAAATTTAAAATTCCCCCTCCCAAAAAACTTCCAATTTGAAATAACCCTTCCCAAAAAAATTCCAATTTAAAATTCTCCCACCCAAAAAAATGCCCCAAAAAATTTCAATTAGAAAATACCCTTTCCAACAAAATTCCAATTTGAAATTTCCCTCCCAAGAAATGTCCAACTTGAAATTCGGCATTCTAAAAAAATTCCCCCTCCCAACAAATTTCTATTCAATGTAATGAACAGTATAATGGTATTTAACATTGTACGGCTTGTCTATAGTTTAATATCTGCTTGTCTATAGTTTAATGTCTGGTTGTCTATAGTTAAATGTCTGGTTGTCTATAGTTTAATGTCTGCTTGTCTATAGTTTAATGTCTGGTTGTCTATTGTTTAATATGTCTGCTTGTCTATAGTTTAATGTCTGCTTGTCTATAGTTTAATATCTGCTTGTCTATAGTTTAATGTCTGGTTGTCTATAGTTTAATGTCTGGTTGTCTATAGTTTAATGTCTGGTTGTCTATAGTTTAATGTCTGGTTGTCTATAGTTTAATGTCTGGTTGTCTATAGATTAATGTCTGGTTGTCTATAGTTTAATATCTGCTTGTCTATAGTTTAATGTCTGGTTGTCTTTAGATTAATGTCTGCTTATCTATATATTGTATAAACCCTATGGCCCCGGAAGCCTGGTTGTTGTGCACGAGGTTGTAGACCCAGGATGAGGAAAGGAAGAATTCCAATTATTGTGCATATATATATATATATTGTATATATTCCCGTATACGCCAAGATACTAAGCCAGGTCCAAGCATATATTTGCTTCAGGATTACTCTATACTCATGGTTCACAGCTGGAATCCAAGATACTATATGTTTCAACAGTTTTTGAAACTCAAACAATTTCCGTGTTAGCTGCAGCCAGATGAAAATTGAAATTTGAACTTTTACAGTAAAATTTGGATATTATCTGATGTGTTTATGCAAATAACAAGTTTAAAGTTAATTTTAGGTTAGGTTTTAGAAATAATGAACTGATAGAGATGTTGCTGAAAATCTACAATTCACCTATTATGGTATTGTGATTGGTGAGCTTTGATTGTTAAACTGGAAAAGGGGCTCTTATTCTCCCTCAGCCGCCGCCCCCCCCCGTTCCTCAAAAAATGTTTCGCACAAGCGAAGAAAACAGGCGTTGTAGCTCTCATATGAATGTAACAAGAACTAGATCATATTTTCTTTTAAAAAGGGGAATCACAATATATATCAAGCAATGGGAACTTTATACTCGTACTTTGTACTCCCTACACCAGGCAGCTTAGTCTAACCTGTCAGACAAGATTTTAAACCCACAGGGGAAATCTCTAATTTTCGATAAACCCCCACGGGAGGGGGGGGGGGAAATCTTTAATCTTTGTTGGAACACAATCGAGATGTCTATAATCTCTTTTAAACCTAGAGGGGAAATCTTCAATATTTGTTAAGAATCAAGGAGAAATCTTAAATAATTGTCAAAAAAGGGGAAATTTTAAGTTTCCTATTGTTCTCGATATTACCTGTAAACACTTATGTTTACTTTCAATATATGAAAATAAGATGAATATATCGTCAAATATAAGCATATAAAATCTGAAGCATATTGGTGATTTGACATTAACAATAACTTCAAAACATATCAATAATTATAATTTATTATTTTCATGATTTAACAGATACAAATCGTTTTCAGATTTATAAATTAATAAAATACCAAAAACATTAAAAAAAATTTTACAAATGATATTGAATTCTTATAAGGTACAAATTGATTAAAACAATACAGAGTCGATGTAATACATAAAAAAATCGATTTAAAACATGTATATTGTAGGCGTAGCACACATAGCTAAAGCAAAATAGATTTAAAACTAGGATTATATGTGAATAGATTCAAAACTAGGATAATATGTGAATAGATTTAAAACTAGGATAATATGTGAATAGATTCAAAACTAGGAATATAAGTGAATAGATTCAAAACTAGGATTATATGTGAATAGATTCAAAACTAGGATTATATGTGAATAGATTCAAAACTAGGATTATATGTGAATGGATTCAAAACTAGGATAATATGTGAATAGATTCAAAACTAGGATTATATGTAATAGATTTAAAACTAGGATTATATGTGAATAGATTCAAAACTAGGATTATAAGTGAATAGAGTCAAAACTAGGATTATATGTGAGTAGATTTAAAACTAGGATTATACGTGAATAGATTTAAACTTGTTTTGATGAATAACTGCTATACTACTAAAAACAGAAACAAAAATTGATTAAACTATTTGAAATTTGTTAAATATATTTGAAATTGAATATTAACAAATTGTGTTAAATATTGTTGAACGAAAATAAGATTTATTTATAACAAACAAAATAGGTTTGACAGATATAAACCTAAATATATATTTGGAGTTGTAATCTCTAGATGTCTGTTTGTTTTTTTCGTTTGAGAGATTCAAAGTTGAGTGGGTTCACTTTTAAAGGGAAAATAGCTCAAATGGCGGGTAAACGGCCGGTTCTTAACAAAGAGAATAGAATATACATTAGAGTCGAATTTACTAGAAAAAAGTGTAAAACGGCCATTTTGTTGTACTGTTTCCATACTGCAGGTGTACTTCGCATATTTGGGCCCTGGAATATCATTTTATAGAAAATCTAAAATTAAAATTAAAAGAAGACCAAATTATGAAATAGGCTGGTTTCATAATTGACCAATGATCATTTTACATAGACTCTATGCCCTTCACTTTACAAACGATGATTTTCCGTTATAGCTATAAATCATATAATTATAATTCATTATAAAGTTTATTTAACAGCTTTAAAAAATTCGAAATTAGGATGGATAGTCTAGGGAACATACTGTATTAATGTACACTACTGCATATAATTTGTGAACATTTACATGATTTGTACACTTTGAACTCCCTTTCAGGCTGAAAGGGACTGAAAAAATTCCTGCCGAGAGATTCGACTAAATTCCCCTCTAATATATATTCTATTCTCTTTGGTTCTTAAGCTAGTGTTTACATAAAAGTGTAATGCAGTTTCTGGGAGGAATGTAAATAAACTCAGTGCTGCTAAAATCAAGTTTTATATTCCTCAAAACTGTATACAATTACTACATTCCAGGGGGCGGAAACGTCATGGGGGTGTGTCTGTACCAAAAGAGTGTGTGTAAGGATACCGTACCAAAGGTTTGTACTGTAGGTTTATACAGTACGTATGAGTCTCGGTATGTATACAGTCTAGGAGAGTACATTTGTTTATTGTTAATTGCTTACTTAAAAATCAGTTTTAATATGCATGTAATATATTATTTACATATTTAAGTCAACACTATAAAGCCAAATTTGTATGCACAGAATATAAATTGATTAAAGTTTACAATAAATATAGTCGTTATTCAAGCTTAATTATAATTGACAACACTGTTCTGCAATTTCCTTGATTGTAATCATGTTGTGTGTCTGTACCAAAAGAGTGTGTGTTACCGTACTAGTCTGCAAACCAGTGCGACTGGCTTTCTCATGCCAGACCAGCGCCATTTCCTTTCCCTTTATTCTTATTCCCTGCTACATTCATTTTGCAACCAGAAGTAGTATTTCAATCTAACGTGAGTTTCACTTTAGATTGACGTGCACCCAGGAGACCCTGTCTGCTTTTCATGGTTTATAATCTGTCCACTAATCCTTAATCCTTGTATCTAAATTCCTTATTTTCTGATCTCTATCAAATCATAAAAACACTCAACATGAATTCTTCAAAATCTATACTAACCAAACAAATGTCTGGCTGCAGATATCACAAACTTTTATTTGAACTTTTATAAATAACTCCATGAACAAGTGAACATTGTTAAAAATTCATCTGTATATATAAAGTTGCAATCTCTGTTTGTTTGTCCGATCATAACTCAGGAACCCCATGACTGATTTGCCTTCAATTTTTATTGGTGAACTCAGGTGAACCTAACTAAGATTTAAGACTCTAAGTTGAGTTATTAGACTTTTTTAAGTGTGAAAAAGTTAATATCTTAATTTAAGACCAACGGTGGATAAACGGCGGGAGTACATTGGGGGGCAACGTTAGGTGCCAAGCTAGTAACAAAATAAAATCTATCATGTAGCTTCTTAGATCTGTGTTACATAATCTTGTACTGTAAAAAAGGGGTCGGAACCCTGTGAGAGTAGTTGCTAAACTGTAGTATGTAGGTGTTCGTGTTCGTTGTATATAGCAAGACGGGGGCAAGACACATCGACTAGCTCAAGAATACATTTTTCCGAGCGGTTTTTATCCCTAATATTTGGGGAGGGGCTATGAGGGCTTAGTCCTCTCTGAATCCCTGAAATCTATGGTTTACAGAGGGGTATCAGGCTTCAATGGGTGCTGAGCTGAGTTCCCAACCTCTCCTGGAAAGAAAGAAATTAAGCCCCACCCTGGACAAATTCCTGTATACGCCCCTGATCCTGGTCGCAAAATGTTGAACTAGTAATACAGTGTTTTCAGTTTATTCCGTAAAAGATAATGTGATGTGGTTCACCCTGTCTGTGTTGTTTCTAAATCTATACCGGAGAACAAAAAACATCCTTCGTGGAATTCCCAGTTAACCAAGGTAGAATAAAACTGCCTGACACTGCCTGAACTTGAATTTGCATGACTCTCCTCCTGGTTATATTTACCTCGACTCTTCTACCTCTCCGTCTTTCCTCATCTGACTCTCAGTCTGTCTCCGCCTGAGTTGGCTTGTAGTATATAACTGTATAATATGCCCTTGAACTTCAACCAGTACAACACCTGATCCAGTTCCATCCAATCATTAATTCATCAATTCATCAACCCATTAGAGTCGATTATTCATTCTTTTTAGTAAAAAATATATTTGTTAATTTTTAAACGAATTGAATTTAATTCCGTCCTGCAATTAATCATGTAAGCGTAGTATTTTTATTACGGAAGTTCTCCAGGGTTCAGTTGTAGGATCCGAACTAACCGCCAAATCTGAGCGCAGCGCAGTGCAACCATAGAGGTGGAGCTGGACGGATCTGATATGGATTAACGCGAGTACGGGTATACTCAGTATACATATACCTGAAAACATGAAGTTAACCCTACTTCTCCAGGGGGTGGGCCTTCTTATATTAATATCGCAGTGCAGTTGTAGTAAAGAGCATGCACATCCAGTGTCGGATTCAAACGAAGTGAGAAGTGAAAAATCTCTGACTGAAACTGCAGTTAAAGAAGTAAGTTCAGTTTAGAAAATAATCAATATATATTTGTGCTACGTGATTGTGTTTTTCAGTTCACTTACAATTCACTTATATGTACAATGTACATTCATACATATATTGTGCTTAACAATATTTGTTCTAAATATTTCACGGCTGAATGCTTGTTAAATAACAGATTTGCATTGTTTTTGTCTTGAAAGGATAAAATAACTGTTTTACGACCGATACCATGCCTGATGCAACATTGCATTTGATTTAGTTCAAATATTTAAACTGCAAGGTCTTTTCGTCGTAAAATGTGTTTTAAAATATCATTAAAACTAAAATGAACAAGAAAATGATGCTTAATAATATTTTGAAATGATTTAAATTGTATTTTTTTGTAAAAGTTTAAATATTGACTTTTTAACTTTTACTAAGAAAAGAAAGGTAAACTAATTCTTTACTGCCCTTCCCCCCCCCCTCTATAGGTTCTAGGTCTACCGCCCCAACCTCTCCAGGAGGTTCAGGGGCAGCCCCACGGCCTCGCCCTGCCATCTTAAGGTTCTAGGTGAGTGAGGCCCCCCCCCCCCTATATGCTTATGTGTTAATTTTGTTCAAAATTTACCAGACAACTGGGTCTCAAGACTCTAACCCTTCTTAAGACTAGGGTTTTATTTTTGTGAAAACAAACGATGTGGGTTCTACAACTTGCATATAATATTTTTGGTTTGATCCCTTGTGGACCTTGTGTGCTTGTAGAAAGAATGGATATAAAATGGATATAATGACAAAACACATCTGTTTTTTATAAGCAATTTTTAACTAACTTTATCGTTTAATCAAGCCTCCCTTACCTATTGGAAGTGTTTGGCTCCTTCTTATTGTTAGACAGGGCCGGCAGGGAGGGGTTGGGGGAGGGGGTAGGTGGTAGGTGGTAGGGAGTATAGGGGGTAGGTCAAATAGGGAGAACTAAATCTAACTGCGTAAATAACAAAAGGTCTTTGAACCCCCTTCGATCAGGAAAAAACAACAAATATACAGGACTCTAAATAAATCCAAAAATAATTAAATTAGACCTAAAATAATAAGCTCTCTTGCTGATTTTTTTATCGGTTTATTCAGTCTTTAGTTATGGATGCACTGAGATTACATATCTATAAAAGAACCCCTAATAGGCCTCTCTCAGATGTACTTAACTTCTTCAACAAAAATATCTTTAATGAAACAAAACTTACATTTTCAAATGTTTAAAAAAATGACAAATTTTTAGCAATATCTCAGCTTTTAAACACGAAATATATATTTTTGGAAATCTTGATTTAGAATTGCCTCATAAATTGAAATTGAAAGCTCTCTTCTATGGCATTAAGTCATGCAAAATTCATATTATGACTATTTAAAATGCCCAGAAGTCCACATAAAACGATGGAATAATACGACGACTTTTAAACTAAAACAATGATGACTAAAAGTCTAATGAACATGCAGCTACTGTGCAATGTGGTGCACGGGGCCCATAGTGATTTTCAAGATACATGATAAAGCATAAAGTACACTATAAAGATTACTTCAATGTAGTTGATAAGCCTTTTCTACAGTTATACAGTCATAATCAGAAAGACCCGAAATTAATTGACAGTTAAATAGGCGACTCTATAACGTATCTCTGGTAATTTTAAATGCTTTGAAAAGGCAGACAACTTTTTAGAAATGACAGCACTATAGGGCCTTTTTTGATTATTTATGATTAACAATGTTTACAATGACGCAATCTAGAACTGATATATGGTTTGAACATGTAGTTCTATCATTAAAAATTAGAATTGCTAAAACTTTCTATTTAGCTTGCGCTTATGCATTGTTCATGAATCCGTGCCAGCAGAGAGTTATTTAAACCATATATTTATGCTACTTCTCAGTCATTTTGGAAAATTCACGAGTTTCAATTTTTTCCACAATAATATTGAATTGGTTTCCCTTAACAGTGGAGTTTAAAACAGTTACTTATAAAAAATAATGCATGACAAAAATACTCCCCCCCCCCCCCTGTAAAGTTCACACAAGTATACTAATTCAAAAATATATATATTGATCCATCTTGGAGTTGGGTTTGAGATTAAACACTTAGGGAGCTTCTTGTTAACATGTATCTCAGGGGAGGGAAACTTTGCAGGGGAATATTAATACCTCCACCTAGTGGCTAGCTTTATAGATCTATGTACACTTCCTCCCCTGCATTCTGAGACAGTGCTTTTCTTGCTATAAGCCAAAATTAAAGAAAAGTTGTAAATACGTGTTGTGTCTCCGATGAACTGAAAAATTGGGTTTATGCATTGATTTATTTTTCAAATTTTTATTAGAAAATTATTAGATCTTGAAACATCTTTAAAAACATGAAAAATATATTCTAATAAGGTAAATTGATTTCTAGGTGTACTTTGGTTTTAATCGGCTGAAAGATTATCCGACCCCCCCCCCCACCCTAGAACTTGATGAACTGACTTGCATTTAGCTAAATGACTTTGAAAAACCGAACTATTTGGGTGTTTCCTTTTCATATTTTAGTTGTATTTTGAAGTAATTATATTCTTACAAAACTCTTATATCGTATTTTCTAACATAAATAATTTAATAAATTAAGATATAGCATTGATATTATGAAGAGATAGTAACTATAAGGCATATTTTCTAACATAAATAATTTAAGAAATTAAGATATAATATGAAGAGATAGGAACTAGGAATATTATTTCTGGAAATTTGCCGAACTAACCCTATCGTAAACATATTTATCAGGTTCATCTATTCATTTATCATTAATCTATTAATCTATCTGGTTTATTTATCCATTTATCAGGTTCATCTATTTATCTATCAGGTTCATTTATTAATTTATTAGGTTCATTTATTCATTTATCAGGTTCATCAATTCATTTATCAGGTTCATCAATTCATTTATCAGGTTTGTTTATTTATTTATCAGGTTCATCTATTCATTTATCATTAATCTTTTCATTTATCTGGTTCATCTATTCATTTATCATTAATCTATTCATCTATCTGGTTCATCTATTCATTTATTAGGTTCATTTATTAATTTATCAGGTTCATCTATTCATTTATTACTAATCTATTCATCTATCTGCTTCTTTTATTCATTTATCAGGTTCATCTATTTATCTATCAGGTTCATGTATTCTTCTATCTGGTTCATCTCTTCATTTATCAGGTTCATCTATTTATCTATCAGGTTCATTTATTCATTCATCAGGTTCATCTATTCATTTATCAGATTCATTTCTTCATTTATCAGGTTCATCTATTCATTTATCAGATTCATTTCTTCATTTATCAGGTTCATCTATTTATCTATCAGGTTCATTTATTCATTCATCAGGTTCATTTATTCACTTATCAGATTCATTTATTCATTTATCAGGTTCATTTATTCATTTATTAGGTGCATCTATTCATTTATCATTAATCTATCTATCAGGTTCATCTATTCATGTATTAGGTTCATTTATTCATTTATCAGGTTCATCTATTCATTTATCATTAATCTATTCATCTATCTGAGTTTAATAGTCGTCTTCCTATTTCAGAGTTTTCTGGTTATCACTGTAAGTTCATAGCGTTTATTTTATTTATCTTATCTTACCTATTTAATCATTTATGTGGACGTATCATTTATTGATCAATAAGTTTAGGTTCAAGAGTACAATACTCCTTTGATCTAAATGAAACATAATACATGACCCCATTACCTATAAACCTTGTCTGTATCTGTATAGTTTAGTAGAAGACATTCGATATTCAACTTCTTCAAATTCAGAGAACCCACTTCACTATTTATATCTATTTAAATGTTCTTTAAAAAAGATGATTAGCTGGAACAACATGGTAATACAATCTTATTCACAACACCCTTCCTTACTATAGCCTAATTATGATAAAATGCGTAAATATAATTTATTTCGTATCCCTTTAACATTACTTTGAGTTATAAACTTGTACTTTATGTTAAAATCTCATGATATACATTGATTTTTATAGACTTGATTTTTCTTAATGAATGATTGTTAATTTTATAATTTCCAGGGTCACCATGAACCACACTCTGAGTTTGGTCATTACAATCCTGTTCACGGGCATGAGAAGCATGAATATCACGTGTTTCACGTGGAGTTTGATCGCGTTGAAATCCCCTTCATCATCGCACTCTGGATATTCGTCTCCTCACTTGCTAAAATAGGTAACTCAACTTTAATTTTCTTAAAATGGAACTTTGAAACCAAACTTAAGTAGAGCTAAATCTCAATCTTAAACTGAAGTTTTGACTTTTGATGCTGGAAGTAAGTAGAGCTAATTATCGCTTGTCTTAATCTTGAGCTTTGATACTGGACTTAAATAGAGCTATGTCGCTTGTCTTCAGTTAGCTTGAAAGTGCCACGACTCAAGAGCGTAAATAAATAGACTGAAGTTCCATCAATGGTTGATTTATTGGTCTAGAATTCAGAGGTTTAAAAAGACTGATGTTGTAATTTCAAGTGACCCTCTAATTAGAACGAGGTATGCCTGATTCACAACGGTACCCTTCAAACCTTTAACTGATACCACATGATAATTATCAATTTTAAAGTTAAAAAGATGAATATCTTTATTATTCTTTTTCATACAAAGCTCTTAAAGTGACTGTTAACGTAATTTCAAGTGACCCTTCATGTAAAGATGTCAATACCCGATTTACAATGGTAACCTTGAAATCTTTATCTGAATGATCAATGATATAGAAGACATCTTCGTTTTTCTAGATTTAAAAGTCTTAATTTCAGATAATTAGAGAAACTACAATGGAAAATAATCAGTTTTCAAAATTATAAACATTATTTAATACATTTAAAGGTACCGTTGTGAATAGGCATTGCTATCTTTTCATGTAGGATTACCTGAAAATACGCATACAGTCCCTTCAAGGGAATATTGATTGGAGTTAGCTTAGTTTTTGACAAGCCGTGTGGAAAAAAGTTGAAGGTTTCAACATTTAGCTGGATCTTTTTGTAATTTATTTTGCAAGCAAAGATATTATCATCAACAATTGCAATTCTTTTGAAATAAATTGAAAATCATTCTTGTCATCTGCAAATAACAAAATATCTTGTTAAACCAGATGACGCTAAATCTTTGTGATAATTATTTTCGACATAAAGTTTTAAATTACAACTTTACCTGAGATATCAACATGACAAAGGTTGGGAATTGATCAAATTAACTCTTTTTAAATTAAAAAAAATGAAGAAGAAAAAAATAGTGTTAAAATTTTTAAAAATAAATTGTCAAGATGAATGGGAAAAGCGAATCCATTTCCATTCCAATATTCCTTTCAAAAATTGCTGTACCTCCCTTTATATATATATTTATTCGAGCTCGTTAGCGAAATCATTGTAAAAACCTGCACTAATTGCGTTGCATTTTCAATGCACCACCTTCTTTTCTTTTTTCTTTTGAATTTAATGATACTAAAACGAAATTAAACACCTTTTTATTTTGCTTCATTCTATTCTATTAGAATTGTGTCATATTTAGATTAGAAATACTTCATACTCTAAAATTAATTTCAAAAAGCCAATAATATTTTTGTTTGTTTGATCAAAATCAGGCAACAACGTTAAACATGTTAAAATTTTCATTTAGCAGATAGTGCATTGATTTATGTTGGTTTTAGTTTAAAACTAGCTTGTGAACACAGCGAAACCAAGTTCTCCCTGTAAAAGTCATCCTTCTCAACTTAGAACTTTTACACCATACTAAGAACGTTCCCGTGATTCTATCAAGTTCTCAAATCAAAATTTGAGGCAACTCGGTTCAGGGGTTCCTGGGTTATAATCCAAACAAACAAGCAGAGCTTTATACTTTATAAATATAGATATGGAACCTAAAATTGCTTTCAATTGTTGTTTAAACCATTGCATTTATAGTTGTTTCTATGGTTGGAATTTCTTTACCAAGCCTGTTCTTTGTGCACTGGATTGTATTGATTGAATAAAAACCTGAAAATCAGGTTTTTTAGTTTTAGTATGCGCCGGGTCACGTGATCGCGTAAGAAACCTACGCATCTTTAACTCTCTCTCTCTGTTTCTGTGATATCTATTAAAAAAGATGAATGTCTACGATGTTACGATGTTCAAACTTCAATTTAAAGTAAAATTTTCAACCAAAAAATAGGAGACAGTCAAAACCGTTGAAAATTCTCATACAAAACATGTCCCGAGCATCCACGTTATTCCACGAAATTCGGATTATTTTATTCAAATTATCTTTGCAATGCGATGTCGCAGATTTCTAACTTTTCAAACTATGAATTCCGTTAGATCAAATAGTAGTTGCAAAGATAAAGGGATAATAAAATTTGAGTTTGAGGCGAGAACTCAATTCCTTTAATACATTTCTGCTCTCTTTATTGCTGTAGAAATCCACAAACCGCCTTTATTAATATTTCCGGCCGCAGTTGAATTAAGAATAGAAGATAAACCTCAAATATTGTTTTAAAAGTATCGTAAATTCAGTCCTTACTTTAAAGATTAAAATTTTACATTTTCAGAAATTCAATCCAAATGTTTTTTTTTCATACAATATATACTTCGCAATCTCTCGACAAATAATAATATTTGAGTTTGCAAAGATTAATAAAACAATGTTAACATCATATGATAGATATTTTCTAATTTAAAATACCTTCTGTTAACAATTATAATATTTAGGATTTCACATGACACCGAAGCTGCACCATATCTTCCCAGAATCCTGTCTTCTTATCGTTGTTGGAATAATCATAGGTTAGAAATATTCTGATTTCTTGATATTAGGTATTTAATCAATTAATCAATCTAGAATTCGTTAAATTATAGGATTTAAGGAATCATAATTAATTAATTAATTAATTAATAATATACGAATTTTTTTTCATGGGATCAGGATTTTACTAATCGGGACTTATTTTAAATAGGATTTAATAAATACGGACTTCTTTAATTAGGATTTAGTAAATACGGAATTCTTTAATTAGGATTTAATAAATACGGAATTATTTAATTAGGATTTAATCAATACGGACTTCTTTAATTAGGATTTAATCAATACGGACTTCTTTAATTAGGATTTAATAAATACGGACTTCTTTAATTAGGATTTAATCAATACGGACTTCTTTAATTAGGATTTAATAAATACGGACATTTTAAATTAGGATTTAATAAATACGGACTTTTTAATTAGGATTTAATAAATACGGACTTCTTTAATTAGGATTAAATTAGTCCTAACTTCATGATAAAAAGAATTTTTGTTATCCAGCTTCTTGGTTTTAGGATTTAATGAACCCTGACTTTTTAATACAAAAACTTTGATAATTCATATTTCTTGATATCAGAACTTTACGAATTCTATTTTTACCTTTTTGACTTCTTACTTTTGCTTTAGTAATTTGGAGTTTTATTTTTTAACTGTGTTTCTTTCAATTTCATATTGTGGTATTGGTTTAGATTTTGATACATTTAATTTTACTTCTAACTTTTCCGTATAACTTTTTTTTCATTTTGGTATTTGAGATTTTTCTTGGTATTTATTTTAATTGTTCTATATTTGAAATATCAAACATTCTCTTCGTCAATACACTGTTTAAAGGGACTGATAAGTGTAATTTCAAGTGCCCTCTATGCAAAGATACCAATGTCCAGTTTACAACGGTACCCTTGAACCCTTAATCTAATCAAAAACGTGGAAGATATCGTCGTTTTCATGACATGAAAAATGTGTAATTCTGATAATTTCTCCATTGCTTCTTATAAGCAAGGAATGCGCAAGTAACTTTCGCAGAGAACCCGCAGAATAAAAATAAACAGTTTTAAGAAACAAAACATGGATATTTCCATATTTGCATGGAGGATAACTTGAAATCCCGCGGTACAGTCTCTTTAAATAACGTGTTAATATTTAGGATTTTTATTGTTCCTGACTTCTGAGCACCCTCCTTCCACCCTCACCCCTGATGTTTTCTTCCTTTTCATGCTTCCACCAATCATTCTTGATGCAGGATACTTCATGCCCAACAGGTATCAGTAGACATTACAACAAACAGGTATCAGTAGACATTACAACAAACAGGTATCAGTAGACATTACAACAAACAGGTATCAGTAGACATTACAACAAAATACTAACAAAATTCCGGGGATTGACAAACTTCATTTTAAGATTGTTAAAAATAATCTATAGCTTGGGGTTTATAAAAATTCATAGAAAAAAATCTGACAATTTGTTCGTACTGTCAAATTTACGAAATTGTTAAGAAATTTATCTTAAATATTGTTATAGATATCTACATCAAAAATGATTTCGTATTCGCACAAAAAGTTCGTACATTCGAAATGCTTAATAATGCGTATTAAAATTTCACCGACCAAAAGGTTCTGTCGTCTTTTATCCTTGAAACCTTAATATCATCATTAATGTGGAAAATAAGCTTTTTTAGCTTGAAAATTGTAATACAACTGTTTTATGCACGTTTTTTTATATTGTCACTTTTACTTTATTATAAACCTGTTTTCAAAATTTGTGTCCAATTTCAGGCTGTTTTTTGATCATCTTGGAACAATTCTATTGATGGCTGTAATAGGAACGATTTGGAATGTCCTCACAATAGGTAGAAATTTCTGGTTTAAAATCCATAAAATCAAATTAAATATGGTCCTCAAAATAGTGCAGCGTTAGGTTATACTAAAATTTTTGGTAATTATTCTATTTTTCGGATTTGTTCTCTAGAATTTTTTGTAATGTACATTTAGAATTTTCAATTCAAAAGTTAAAATGAGCGTTATGCTTACTTTGACGACTTATTAAAAAGTTATTAAAATACAAAGGAAATGAGTCATCTACTTCGAGATACGCTGCATTTATTCATGAGCCTCTCTGATTTTGAGAATTCCGTATTGGTTGAAAACTTGAAATATTTAGAAACGAGCTGAACACTTGCCTCAAACTCTAATGTTCTAATCCTTATGTTTTTGCAATCTGACTTTACAGACTTGGTATTTCAAAGATCTAATTGTCGAAGTATGAAAAACCAAAGGTTTACACCATAAATTAGAATTTGTGGCGAATAATCATATTCTTAGTAAAGATTATCGACAGTTATGAAATCTTCAAACTCACATGTTTAATGAAACCCCTTGTATATTGTATTTGTTTACCCTGGTAGTTTTGTAACCATGGTATATTGTTTAGGAGTTGCTCTGTGGGGAGTAGGACAGACAGGTCTATACGGAGAACATGATACTCCGGGTATACTGGAAACCTTTCTCTTCTCATCTCTCATCTCAGCTGTAGATCCTGTAGCCGTCCTAGCGGTCTTTGAAGAAATACATGTAAGTTATTGATTCTTATTTTAGATTTTCTTTTCGTTCTTATAGAACCAATCCAACCAATCAAATCATTTTAAAAATTATTTAAAGAACTAGATTTTGATGTTGAGGTGGTTTATTCTGTCTGATAAAATATTGATTCTTATTTTCATTGAATCTGCATATGTGCTACAATTAACTGTATTTTTATATAAAATTTTAAATTTAACCTGAATATAACAGGACATTCTAATTAGAAAGGGAAGTAGATAATTAAATGTTCATTTTTTACAAAACTATCAGGATATATAACTATACTATGCACAAATAATTGATGTACATTGTACGATGTAATCTGTACATTGTACGATGTAATCTGTACATTGTACGCTGTTATCTGTACATTGTACGATGCATGATCTATACATTGTACGATGTAATATGTACATTGTACGATGTTATCTGTACATTGTACGATGTAATCTGTACATTGTACGCTGTTATCTATACATTGTACGATGTAATCTGTACATTGTACATAAAATGTCTGAATAAAATCATGACTTCATTCAGAGATCTTAAACAATTAATTAAATCCATCAGATTTTTTGACAAAAATTTATTTTAAAAGAACTGAAAATTCAAACCCTTAAAATACCTTTGCTACCTGACAATGTACAGATGTAACAGGTTACAATGATAAAAGGATTAGAAAATAGAGTTGAAAATCTGAAAATCTGTAGAAAAATACAGAGAGAATACACATTTCATTCAATCTGAGCTGAAAACTTATAGATAGACAGAATGAGTTAAATGAATTCTCTCGTAGCAGGGATCTCAATTTAGTCATCGCCTTCAATATCAAGAACTTGATCATCAACGGTTTTTTTTACAGTGACTACAGTGCTGTAGTCTTTGGAAAGGAATTGAGTCTTTCCAAAAACAAAAATTTTCTAATTCCTTTCAATGCAAACTAATGGCGCTAACCTTTCAAACTTAGATTATTTGATCTCACAGAATTCATAGCTTAAAATATAAGGTCTACGACATTGGCTTGCAAAGATAAAGGGATTATAAAACCAAAGTTTGTGGTAAAGACTCAATTCCTTTTTTAGAAATATCAAATTATATAATGTGCGTAGAAAAAGATGTTTACTTTCCAAGATTAATTTTCTTTTGTTTCTTAATCTTGAATCTTCATTACGGCGCGCTGAGATATCATATCGATTTAACTAAAGAAAAATGAAAACCGGATTTGAGAATGTTTTTTCAAGATCTCCCCGATAAAATCAGGTTTTTGCTAAGTTGTTGATGGTCCAGGGGTTTAATTCGATACTGTTACGCTGGTTCTTTGTTAAAAACTCAGTCGAGAAAAACTCGTTTCTTTGGAAAAATGCATTTATTGTTGGAAAGCTCAGGGTTTTTAGCTGCATTTTCCTCCTAATTTTTTACCTCAATGTTTTGCTGTATTTTAGTTCTGCAACTAAATGAGCTCCGATCCAATGCCGTTCAAATTAGCAGAACCACGATCAATGTCTTATTACAGACAAAAGATAAGATTTTATAGACGATTGTAAAGAGTTAGTTCACTCTTTTTCTCATGGTATTCATAGTTAGCTGCAAAACTAAAACTAAAACTAAAACTAAAACCTTCAGATAATCAAAGAGTTTCACGCCTTCTTTAGAGTCTTATAAATTGCCGGTAACTCTATCTATATATACTTTGCTTGTCTGTTTATCTGTTTATATATTCTTTGCTTATCTGTTTATCTGTTTGTTTGTATCCTTTAAACGTCAAAATGGCTGAACCGATCGGGCCCAAATTTTGTGCGAGACTTAACATGATCCTCGTACAAAATTCGATTTTCATTAAATTTTGAAAATCCATGAACATTTTTTATAAAATCCGCGAACTTTTTGTTTGTTTTTGTTATACAATGATTACAGTATACGCAGAGAAAATGTTTTATTGAAATAGAAGATAGGCGCTAAGCGCCCTGAAACGAAATTATAAATTAATCGTGTTCAGGTGAACGAGGTTCTTTATATCATCGTATTCGGAGAATCACTTCTCAACGATGCTGTAACTGTTGTTCTCTACCACATGTTCGAGGCATATGTCGAGATCGAGGAGAAGAACCTCGTCGCCACCGATATTGCCAAGGGGTTCGCCAGCTTCATCGTTGTGGCGGGTGGAGGAACTATTATCGGCATAATCTGGGGATATGTTACTGGATTCGTTACAAGGTAAACATTTCCTATTATATTTCGAGAAATATGTAAAAAGAGGAGTTTATAACTTTGCAAAAATGTACGATATATATGAAAATCTGCTCCAATATCCTAAATCAGCGAATCCATGCTCCGACATCCTCACATTGCGAAACCCTACATGAATATCCTAACTAAGTGAAACCTTTATTCAAAATTCTAAGCCAGTGAAACCCTACTCCGATATCATAAATTAGTAAAACTTTACTCCAATATCATAACTTAGTTAAACCTAATTCCGATTGAAACCCTACTTCAATATCATAACTTAGTGAAACTTTACTCCAATATCCTAACCACTGTGAAACCCTACTCCTATATCCTAACCTAGTAAATTCCTTCTCCAATATCCAAACCTAGTGAATTCCTTCTCCAATATCCTAAACTAATGAAACCTTGCTCCAAAATCCTAACCTAGTAAAATCATACTCCGATATCCTGACCTAGTGAAACCCTACTCCAATATTTAACTCCAATATTTCCCAACCTTTATGCTATATCCTAATCTAGTAAAACCCATCTCTAATTTCCCAAGCTACTAAAACAATTCTCCGATATCCTAACCTAGTGAAATCCTACTCCGATATCCTAGCCTATATTCAAACCTTACTACAATATTCAAGCCTTTTGAAACCCTACTCCTATATCCCAAGCTACTAAAACCACACTCCGATATGCGAACCTAATAAAACCATGCTCCGGGATCGTAACCTATAATGAGCCCCTGCTTGAAATTGCTAGCTTTGTATACGACTGTTCAAACTCTCCCTGGAGTATTGAAGAACTCGGGTTTCCCAGTGTTTCACTAAAGGCTTGGCAGAAGTGAGATGACTTAACACTTTTTCTTAGTTTCTTATGGTTTCGGGGTACAAACGTACTCTATGGAACTCTTCTTTACGCCTGAATAAACATTCTGCCTGGGTTGTACAGTGCGCCCCGCTAAACATGTTAATTTTAACATTAATGAAGTGAAGACCTATCACAAAATCAAGACTACTGTGAATATCATTCAGCAGTTTTGAAGACCAGGTCGACCTTGAATTTTTCTAGTGTCTTAGCCTAACTGATTTTCTTTTTCTAGCCCTAGACATGTAAATTTTAGATCTATTTACAACGCGCTTCTTTCTAGTTTGAGTTTAAAATGAGTAATTTGCAAAATGGTTTAATAATTTTTGCGCTAAAGTGTGCACATTTTGGTTGACTGTGCTAAACAAACATTTGACAAACATAAACATACACTTGCCTGTATTATTCTTATGATATTCAAAACACGTTTCATAAAATTTGCCAATGCAAGTTTCATTTATAATTTTGTTACATAGAGATTTTACGGAAGAATATAACTTCTGTACGTATTATTTGGTTGGGGGGCTTTTAGATCTCTTTCTTGATATTCCTGGGACACATAGTGCTCAAGCCTGAAGATACAAAGTTAAACATTTTAACCGAATCAAGCGAAAATAATTAAAATATTCTAATGAAAAGCTTTTATTGAATTTGGTTATTAATGACAAGACGAAAAGATAGTCGAACCCCTTTAAGGGGCCCATACAAATTGCCAGTGTACGATGATTTCTTGCCAAATCCTAAAATTTTTAATATCGCCTTTTAGCAATAAAGCTAACTCTCTAAAATCATGCAAAAGAATTTATATTTACGATAAAATTGAATTTTAAAACACTTTAATTACGAATTTTACATTTTACGGGTTACTTAAGTTATGTAACACTTAAAACTAAGGTTATCACTCCGGTCTCCGTCTATTAAATAATACATTAGGTCTATGGAAGAAGGAGTTGTTGGCTTAACCCTATCTCTGCTGGGGTACTTGAAAACCAGGATATGCTGGGTCTTGACCGCTGAAGAAATTTTTTTGGGAGAAGTCTCTAAGTTGTTTAAATGTTATGTTTTAGTTAAGAATTTAGACCAAAAACCCGCTATTTTATTGAAAACTGTTAAAATAGGATTTTTCAACACGCGACTCTGACTAAATCAAGGTTATGGCCTGCTGCCTACGCCCCTAAATCTTTTCTATATGGCTGTTAGAATCTATTTATCTGTTTAGAGTATCTCCAAACCACTTTTCTTTCTTGCACTTTTGCTATAAAATAATGTTTTTTTTGTGAAATAGTCCACTGTAACAAAGACGACATTTAAATAAATTGCGGGTTTACAAGATTCACTTAAGGATAAATATATGAACGTAATAGTAATTATAAATTGAAATCATTATAAATCAATGCAAGCTACAATTGATAGAATTGATACAATGTTTGTAAATAAATAGATTATTCTAATATATTCCTTTTTTTCATTCTCACCATGAAACAAGACAAATACATTTTAAGAGAAGCATTGTGAGAAAAACCAGACAACCCCCCCCCCCCCGACCCCCTAAAATACCCCACTGTGGGGGGTGTAAGATTAGGTCTAAAGAAGAGGGAGGGGTTTCTTCCTGAATATGCTTTAACATTTACAGAACATGAAAATTTAAATTTAAATGTCAGCCATGGTTTGGGTTTACTAACAGAGGTTGACTGGTTGTAATTTTTAGTTTGCCACATTTAAAGTAAAAACAGTATTTTAGCAATAAAATAAGGAAACTGAAAATTTTGTGTTGGCAAAATATTTTCATATTTATTTATTCTTTGAAAATTTCCAACAAAATAATGGAATGTGTTGGCTCCCAGTGAAAACTATCATATATGTTGAATGTTTTTTGACAAAGTTTATTGTTTTTATGTTTTTTATCTTTTTAAACGTAATAACAAAATCGTAAACTATCAATGCCTCAACTAGGACACAATCTCGTAAACTATCAATGTTTTTACTAGGACACGATCTTGAGCTATCAATGCCTCAAATATGACACTATCTTGAGCTATCAATGCCTCAACTAGGACATGATTTCGTAAACTAAAAATGTTTTAACTAGGACACCATCTTGAGCTCTCAATGTCTCAACTAAGTTACGATCTTGAGCTATCAATGCCTCAACTAGGACACGATCTTGAGCTATCAATGCCTCAACTAGGACACAATCTCGTAAACTATCAATGTTTTTATTAGGACACGATCTTGAGCTATCAATGCCTCAAATATGATACTATCTTGAGCTATCAATGCCTCAACTAGGACATGATCTCGTAAACTATCAATGTTTTAACTAGGACACATCTTGAGCTCTCAATGCCTCAACTAAGACACGATCTTGAGCTATCAATGCCTCAACTAGAACACGATCTCGTAAACTATCAATGCCTCAACTAGGACACGATCTCGTTAACTATCAATACCTCAACTAGGACACGATCTCGTAAACTATCAATGTTTTAACCATAGGACACGATCTTGAGCTATTAATGCCTCAACTATGACACTATCTTGAGCTATCAATGCCTCAATCTAGGACACGATCTTGAGCTATCAATGCCTCAACTAGGTGACAATCTCGTAAACTATCAATGCCTCAACTAGGACACGATCTTGAGCTATCAATTTCTTAACTAAGACACGTTCTCGTAAACTATCAATGTTTTAACTAGAACACGATCTTGAGCTATTAATGCCTCAACTAGGACACGATCTCGTAAACTATCAATGTTTTAAGGACGCTATCTTGAGCTATCAATGCCTCAACTAGGACACAATCTCGTAAACTATCAATGCATCAACTAGGACACGATCTTGCGCTATCAATGCCTCAACTAGGACACGATCTTGAGGCTATCAATGCCTCAACTAGGACACGATCTCGTAAACTATTAATACCTAAAATTGGACACGATCTTCAACTCATTCATTTAGAACAAGGACAACATGAAATTTACTTTAACTTGGCGTGCTTTATGAATATATATTTGTAGGTTTACAATCCATGCTACAGTTCTTGAACCTCTGATCGTGTTTATAATGGCCTATCTCTCCTACCTCACAGCTGAAATATTTCATATGTCTGGAATCCTGGCCATCACGTTCTGCGGAATAACTATGAAGGTGTGGAATTAAAGGGTGGAAGTCTTTGTCCCAAACTCTGACTTTTTAATTCCTATTTATCTTTGTAACCTGATGTCATAGAGATATTTAAAACTTAGATCAAATAATCATATAATCTAAGTATGAAATATTAAAGGTTTTCACCATTAGGTTTTAAAGATATAGAGATTAGAAAATTTAATTTATGACTAAGACTCAATTGCTTTGAAGGATATTTTAACACCATTTTTTCAAAAATTAGTTTTTTGTTTTGTTAAAATGTTAAAGTTTACTAAATGAAAAGTACTCATTTAAATTTATTATTTACATAATGACAATTCAGATTTTAAAAAGTACTTACTTTCACTAATATTTTTCAATATATATATATTCAAAATTACTTTTATTTGTATTTTATATATTCCAAAAGCCCATTTTCTTGTTATGAAAGGGACTATAGAGCGTTTTATACTAGGGGTAATTTTAAGTGATCCTCGTTTACATAGTCTCAACTGTACACTTTTAACCTTCATCACATGCAAAATTGAGTAAGATATTGTCGTTTTTCTATCTGGAAAAAATGCGGAATTTAGACAATTTCCTTCTTTCTCTCCGCTGCGTAAATCGGGAAGTTAGTTTTATAGGTAAACAACAATAAAAAACTATCAATTTTATTTTTAAAAAATAAGGATATTTGCATAAATTAAGATGAAGGTTTATAGGGTACTGTTGTGAATCGGACATGCCACTTGATAGTACATCTACACTCTACAGTTCTGTTAAAGTATGTATAAGAACATTGTTGTCGTCAAATAGGAATGTATAACCCACCCCAGAAATATACTAAATTATATCAAATAGGAATGTATAATCCACCCCAGAAATATACTAAAATATATCAAATAGGAATGTATAATCCACCCCAGAAATATACTAAAATATATCAAATAGGAATGTATAACCCACCCCAGAAATATACTAAAATGTATCAAATTCTTATAATTTCTATTTTGTTAATCTAAAATTGCTGAAAGTTACTTTATTTCTTTTACACCCTTTTTAAACTTACTTTTTAATGAGAGAATCTTGAACTTGAATTCAGGTCCTAAATTATTCCACGAAACACATGAACATTGAACTTGAATCGATTTTCTTTAAACTACGTCTGAAGTCAGAACTGAATATTTATATATTTCAGTATTCATAAAATTCAAGCTTCATCCCTAAAAGAAAGAAAAACACAGAAGATTCTTTAATGTATGTGGATACAATTGTTATAGATTTATCCATGTGTAAAGCAAAACCCCTTGCATAAATGCCTTGTTTTACCTGAAATAAAATGCACATTAAAAAGTACTTTATTTTTTTTTAAAAAACGAATAAAAATGTAATCTTTTGACTTTTTAGATTTATGAATTTTCTTGTTTTAATTTGGTTCAAATATTTAGAACTACGTGGAGCAGAATGTATCGGCCAAGTCTCAAACGACGATTAAATACGCGATGAAGATGTTGTCGAGCAGCTCCGAGACCATCATCTTCATGTTCCTGGGCGTAGCAACTATACATGACGAGCATGATTGGAATTGGTGGTTCGTCATTTTGACAATTCTATTCTGCACAATATTCAGGTAACAACATTTTCAGGTGAAGATTAGATAATTTTTTGAAACATTTCTTTGAATCAATTTATATAATTTTTTTATTGCGTCTTTGATACAAAATGGTGCATATTTGCATTGAAGGGACAAGTTCGTTCAGCAAGTTTGAAAAAAATGAATTAAGTCTTAGTCACAAACCTGATGGTGAACCTTTGATATATAAGAATTCATAGTTTGAATTATCTAAGGGTTATGCCATTGGGTTGCAAGGATATAGGGATAATAAGTTCAGAGTTTCTGGTGAATACTCAATTCCTTTAATTGCAATAAATTGAACAAACTATTAGAACATTTTTTTCTTCAAAACATGTCATTTTAAGATTAATATTTTTTTAAGAAAAAAATCTATTTAGATGCCTGGGGGTTCTGATTCTTTGTGCCATGGCAAACCCGTACAGGTTGCAAAAGCTGGGTGCTGTAGACCAGTTTGTTATGATGTACGGGGGGCTCAGAGGAGCTGTAGCCTTTGCTTTAGGTAGACTTTACTTTTGATTGTTAATTATAATGCATTCTATAAAGTTGCAGATATTGTTTCATTGAAATTTTAATTTTTGGACTTAGAATTATTAGTATTTAAAGAAAATTAAACATGGGAAAACTTCAGCAAAAAACATGAAAAGACTAATTAAAATCCAATAAAATCGTATTTTCTTTTAAAAGGGTCTTGACTTTTGACTCTTTACAGGCACATTAACTATTTTTTACCTTCATTTGATGAATGTTATGTACAGTACTTCTGGTGGACCCTCATGTTGTACCACATGCTCATATGTTCGTTACAACAACCATAGCCATGGTGTACTGGACAGTGTTTGTACAGGTATGCATTGTATTGTTTTGTGTAACATGTAGATGTAAGATGTTACACTTTTGGAGATGTTGGATGTTTTTTGAGATTACAATGGTAACGCCAGGAACTTCAGCTAGTAGATTTTTTAGGGAATTGAACCTTTTTTGTGTCTACAAATTTGTTACATAAACATATCTGAAACATATGCGTTTTTATGATTTAGCATGGTTTTGAACCGTACTGTATGTAAAAAACAAAATATTTTTTAAGGTTTGGCTCTTTTCGAAAACATTTCCCCCAGCTCTTTACACCTTTATCTCAAAGATATTGAAGTTCTATAAGAAACAAATATGTTAATACAATACATGAAAATAAAATAATCTTTATTTAGGGTATAACAATAAAACCTCTGGTAAAGTTCTTAAACGTGAAAACTGCCTCCGAGAAAGATACATCTATGAATGAACGGATCACAGGACGGTTTATGGATCATATTATCTCCGGGATGGAAGGTGTACTGGGAGAGTTTGGAAACCTGAAGATAAGAGATATGTACAGGCAGCTGGATATTAAATATATTAAACCATGTTTACTCCGCGAAAACAAGGTTAGAAATGACTAAATACTTTACCCAAATGATCAAAGAAAATGTGTTTACAGCCTTGATTTAATTCCCATGTGTTTATCTGCATACCTTGAATTCTTTAGAAAGAATAAAAAGTTGCAGTTATTAAAGAACTTAAAGAAAATAATTGAATATGTTTACATAAATTTTGCTATAAAAAGTTAAAATTGTGTGAATTGATTTTCCGCTTAACAAATTTTGAATTTCATAATAAAAAGCAAAACCACAAAAGTAAAGAATAAAGATGTTTTAAGTCTCATTTATATAAAAATAATCATTCTAGGTCTAGGTATAAGTTGACCCTTATATTTTCCATGAAGATTCAAAACTAATTCCCAATTTTCCTTCTTTAAGGTCCGAGATCCTAAGATTATCGAAACCTACGAAGCATTGAAGAAAAACGATATGGAGGAGAATATCAAGAGGAACTCGAGCAGTTTCTCCAGGCTGCCGCAGATCAAGGAAACTAAGAGCATGTCCCAACTGCTTCAAAGGTGGATTGCTTTTTCGTGAAATGTGTTTATTGCTGATTTTGTTTAATCGAAAAAATAAATTTAAAAATAAAATGAGAATTCAGATTTTTTAATTTATTCTAAACCAAATATTTCAGTTCCAGGTTATAATCATGATTTATTAAATGTTTGGTTTTGATTTAAACAAATATTGCATGTTAAGTATGGATTACAATGATCCTAATATCAATTGTGTTTAGCCAGGGAGATGTAGAGAACGTGGACTTGAAGGAGATCCACTTCAGCCAAAGCACCAGGAGCCTGACAGAGGCCAAGATTCATCATCTCCTATCAGAAACAATGGACTGTTCCTTTAAGAAAGCTAGGCCACCGACATATAGGTATAACAGCTCACCTCAAAATAAATACTAATGATAATTGATTTTAAACTTAAAAAGATGTTTACAAAACAATAATTTTCTTGAGCTTTGTACTCATTTCGTCAATCTAAACAGTGTCTGGCTTTGATTTTATTTCAATCAATTTGTTAAGTTCTAGAATTTCATTTTTCTTTTCTACATCGGATGGTTTTTAAGGAAAAACTCCTTATATCAAATATCTTCATGTTTTCACACAAACTAAATTTTTTTGAAACATTCTTACTTTTACTTAACTTTTCTGTAAAATAGTTGTAAATAATTATTACATCAATAATTTTCCCGATAAATGAAATTCCCATATTTTAGTCGACATAATGTTACTGACAACAATTCTAAAAATAATTTTGCTGAAATCACGCAGGTAAAACACATTAAATACTAAAGCTAATAATTTTAATTTTTTTAAAAAAGTTTTAAACATATAAAACCGTTTTTATGAATGACTGTTTAAATTTTTTAAAGTGTCTTTCATTTCGAAACTTAACCCCTAAAACATAATGGTTTTTTTTCAGGATTTTATAAAATTACTTGGCTAATGATATTTATTTTATTTTTGGAATAGAAAAATATTCTTGAACAAAAAATATTTAGGTTAGAAGAATGAGAAGTGAGAGGAAGAAGAAAAAAGAAACAAAGCAACCAAACTCCAAGGTAATTAGAAAAAAGGTAACACTTCATTAAGTGAAGCCTAACACTTTTGGTTGGAATAGCACTGGGTCACATCTCGACGTTCAAAAAACTATTAAACAAAAGGATTTATATTTTATCCAATCCAGAGATGACCGGGAAATCTACCAAAGGATAATGTAGAAAAGATTTAATAAAATATGTGAATTAAATTAATTAATTGATTGAGCAGATTTATATTAGAAAAGTTTTTATCTCTTTATTGTTTAGAATCTAAGAGTATCAGGAAGCTCTAAGCAGCTGATAGATGAACATATTCACGAGGTTATCGCTAACGATGAACAGAATCCCCCGGCATACAGTGAAATAGAAGAGTTTATCAACTTCAAGGCCAAACATTCAGAGAAAAAGATCCAAGAAGGTAGGTCGCCACATTTTCTTTAAAAGAAAAATATTAAAATAATTTTTATTTTAGAAAAAATTGATACAACTTTTCCATGGAAAACGAATAAAGGATATATAAATACAGGTATTAAATCAAACACAATCAACGATTAAAAATATTTCATAGTTTTGATGATTTTTTTCGGAGAAGGCCATGACAGAAATAAAGATTATTGAGTGAAATTTTAATTTAAATAAAATATGTAACAATGTTTTATTGAACGCTTTTTATTTAAAAAAAGATTAAATTTTAAGCTTTTAAACTATAGAAGTTTAGAAAATACAGAATTTAAAGTTCAGATGAGAATTTTTTTTTCCTTTTCTAATTGCAACAAATCTTTTGCTTGGATCTGTTTAGGTATAAAAATCAGGAATACGCAGGATTGAGGATATATTGGTACTTTACATTTTTTGTTGGCGGAACCAGCTACAAATATACTTTTATAATATTTCTGTTTGCAGAGGAAGCAGCAACAAAAATGCTTTTATTTATTATAATTCTATATGCAGAGGAACCAGCAACAAAAATACTTTTATTTATTATAATTCTGTTTGCAGAGGGACCAGCAACTAAGAATGACGCGAAGGCCTACCTCTATTTCAACAGAAGAGAGTCCCAATTGAGTTTAATGGGTGAAGGACATCAATCTCCAGTTCTCTCAGACGAACTATTTTTAAATGCACTTGGTAGCCGACGAACTAGCTACGCTGCAACTACAGACAGACGATTTAGTCACATTGACACCAGGAGACCATCTTCACTGAAGGTATTTCTACCCATTTATCTTCATGAAATAAAAACTGAATTGAGTTTTGCCACAAACTCCAATTTTTTAATTTCTACATCTTAACAATCTGACGGTGTAACAGAATTCATAGTTTGAAATCTCGTTAGAACTGACGAGAGTTAACCCAGACCGAAATATATTTTTAATAATATGTGGAACTAACATCTATTTTGTTTACTCTACAGAGGTTTGGTCCATCACCATCACCGAATTTTAAAATTTGAATATCTAGGGCATTTCTAAGATATAGGAATTAGAAAACCAGAGTGTGTGACAAAGACACAATTTCTTTGCGCCAAATATTTGAAAAAGAACATCATGATTATCATAATCATTGCTGTAACCCTGGGCATATTTAGGACCCGGAGAACTCTACTCCTGTCACTCCGACCTCAACGGAGAAACCTAAGTTCCACGTAGAGAGTGATTCTAAGAAATCAACTAGCAAATAACGTATTTATGAAAACCTTATTATACTCCTTACATTAAAAACAACAATACATACAGTATAGAGATTATTTTTAATATATATTACGATAATTTTGTAAATATCATTTTTCCTTTGTAAAGTAAATGTTCTCTGTAAAAAAAGAATTAAAATCAGTGAAAATCGGTATTACTTGTATTTCTTCCTAATGTAATCTAAAATCGTCTCCAAATTCAAGAGATTGTATCGGTCCTGTTTTCTAACACTCATAAAATCCTGAATCTTGTTTCTTTGCTAAACTTTAGCACAAGCTATTAAGAGACTATATTCAAGGCAGAATACGTAACTTTATCTGGTATTGTCATGTTCTAAGGGGTCGTCTTTACCTTTGTGGGAAACTCTGTACTTATCTAAAGAGAATATTGAAATTGGCGCTCCTATGAACTTCAAGGGAATTGAGTTATTATTGGTTAAGAGTAACATTGAAAGTTCCATTGTATGCTATGAGAACATTTACAAACTAATTTTCAACTCGAGCAGATAAAGTTTTCACCCTGAGACCCTGAAGCTGATATATTTTAAAAGTTTCAGAAGGCACAAAGTTATCTGGGACAGCGGTTACCCTCGCAGGATGAGACTTCAAGAGACGACTGTATGGAATTAATTCAGTCAGTTTTTTTATATTCCCTATACAGCTGTACACTTCAAATTCAACCTTTAGATCTACATTCTTTAAAAGTTTCAGGCCGTCATTGAAGTTTCATCCATTGTGAATAACCGTGTATTTTTTATCTGCTTAAAAATAAAGTGTGTGTAAATAAGACCAAAATATAGGGCCAGTATTTAAAGATACATGTCTAGACTGACTTAGAGTCAGTTATGGTAAATGTGTGTTATTAGTTCAAGTACCCGGCGTTGTCAGTGAAATACAAATTTTTCTAAACAATTTTAAAATAAATTTTTTTGATTCTTTTTGCCTCAATTAGCCCCAGGGTTCCTAACAAAATTTCGGCCAATTTGTTCCACCCGTTTGGCCTGCTATAGCTAACATATGTATATCCAAATATATATGAGAGAAGATGAAATCTCATCTTTGACCTTCCAGTGTGTCTAAATAAGCTAGGCAATTGCGTGACGACTTAAGGTGATTTTTAATTAATTTAAACTTAAGGTGGTTTTTAATTAATTTAAACTTAAGGTGGTTTTTAATTAACTTAAACTTAAGGTGGTTTTTAATTAACTTAAACAACTTAAGGTGGTTTTTAATTAACTTAAACTTAAGGTGGTTTTTAATTAACTTAAACTTAAGGTGGTTTTTAATTAACTTAAACTTAAGGTGGTTTTTAATTAACTTAAACTTACGGTGGTTTTTAATTAATTTAAACTTAAGGTGGTTTTAAATTAACTTAAACTTAAGGTGGTTTTTAATTAACTTAAACTTACGGTGGTTTTTAATTAACTTAAAATACTAAAAATATACATAACAAATCCTATTCCTTCTGGGATTGCCAAGATGTACCCTTACAATTGATCTAAATTATTTGAAAATGAAGAAGTGTCTAAATTATTAAAATCTCGGTTTCTAATCAGAAGTTTGTTACTTATTAACGTGCAAACTAGATACAATTTATTACATAACAAAAATCGAAGACCTCTGCACTCTACAATGTCTTCATCGCCTGTATGTTTTTTTTATTCGTTTTTCATAAAATGCTACTATCTATCCTTCTTATCAGTCTTTAATATATATTTAGAGTTGTAATCATTGAAAAATAACTAATACATAATAATTTACAATTATATAATCATAAAAATCCAATTTAAATCAATAATTACTGAAGGTACTAGTTAGCTGGACCGGATATCTATTCTCCCTTGAAATTCGGTTTCCGCTTTTCCCGGAAAGCATTCAGGGCTTCTATCCTGTCTGTGGTAGGAATAACCTGACAAATAAAGCAAGATAAAAATATGTATTTTACGTCATATACAATAAATACATTTAATTTAAATATTATTGAATATTCCATGAAAAATATAAGTTGAAAGGTAAAAATGCGGTTTTATGCGAGAATAAAAATAAAAAACCTGTGCGTAGCATGTTTCTTCAAATGCCAGCCCTGAGGCTAGATCGACCTCCACGCCTTTGTTGATCGCCATTTTGGCCATTTTAACCCCAACCGGTCCATTCGGGATTATTTCTCTGGCAATTTCAAGAGCTTTGGCGTACGCGGCATTTCCATCTTCATTTTGCGCAACACAGTGGTTTACCAATCCTATAAAAAAAAGAGTAAAGCATTAGTGTAAAATAACCAAAGATAATATATATATAGATATGCAGGCAGGTATAAATTTAGAGGTCTTGAGAAAATGTGCAAACAGCACCATCTCTGTCGTACGCATGGCATTTTATCCTCTGAATTGTTGCTAATTTATCACTTTGTTTATGCGTGATAACACTAAATGCGTACTACAGTATCAACCATGTATACTGCATATTGTACTTAATGAAACAAATTAATCAATGCAAATAAAACTGAGGTAGGAATTTGACTAGACAAAGTTTAAATGTGCATGTTGTACTGAATGGCATACGTAAATTAACGCAATTTAAATAAAAATTATGACTAAAAAGTACATCGAATCTGGGACAAAGTCCTAATAGCGGACAGGATCCGGTCGAACAATACATCCCATTCAACACTACTATGGTCGGTTGCTCCTGGCTCTTCATGGCTCAGAACTGGCTCATCACCCCCTTAACCCCAAAAACTCAAAAAAACTCCATTACTTTCCTAAAATGATCATCCTAGGTTTGGTTTGGTTTGAGGATTGTCAACCTGTATGAAAAAGTCGTCCCAAAAAAATGTTGCAATTTATTTGCCTTGTTTACTAGAATTCATGTATAAAAAACAGTAATTTTAATAATTCTTTAAACCATCAACCCCAACATCTTAATTGCATATTGTGGTACCAATTAGAAAATCTAATTTTATTTAAATATCTCATAAAAACCATTTGATTAAATAGATATCACTTATTTAACAAATATAAAATAATTTCCAAAGGTGTGTCAATATTTCTGTTTGTCTAATATATCTTTACTAAGTACAACTGATCATAACATAAACAAAACGCGTACTGTATGTTTGTGTTACCTTGAAATTTAATTTTATTGGTCAAACAGGTCCAGATAGCAACACTTGAACTATACAGGATGCAATACGCGTACTGTATGTTTATATAACACAAATGCGTATTTCCTGCAGATAGCAGCAAGGGGAGAAAGGAATATAGAAAGTAATCAATTTGCTATAGATGTCTCTCCTTGCACATTTTCTCAGAGGTTCAAAAATTAGTTGTCTGCTACAAGCAATTTAGGAAGGAGGTTTCTACCTGCCTGCATATCTATATATATATTATCTTTGAAAATAACTATTGATTACGCGAGAGCTATGATCATAGATAATTGTTAAGTGTATATATTTCAATTCCAATTCAATGTTTATGGTGCACTATGCTCCTAAGGTTGCAAGCTCTCAAGCAAAAATCGATCGAAATTTTGCCAATTACTTTCTAAAACTAAATTAAAAATAAGACTTTAGTTATAAAACGGACATATCTAGGGCTCCAAAAAAGAATGATTGAGGCAAAATCAAAGGCCAAGGCGTTGCGACACTTAAAATTCGTCCCAATCTTAAAGATTTTTGCAACTTTTCATGGCAGTCTGGATCTATGTGGATGTGACTCAATTAAGAACTTCATTTCCTTGTTTTAAGTCTTAAATCTACATATATGTTTTTACCTATTTTCTCTGCCTGTGCTCCTGATAATATTCTAGCAGTATAAATTAATTCTCTGGCAATTGCAGGCCCAACTACACGGGGCAATCTCTAGAAAAAAAGGTAATATTAAACCTGTCTTGCAGTTGCCTGTAGCCTTTATAATCTCACACATGGGCAATCTACAGGGTTACCCACACAGAATGAGACTATAAAAACGAATGAAAATTTTAAAATAAGATGATCCGACGACCCAAAATTAAATGTTCTGTCTTAAATGTGATCTTTAAATGGCCTAAAGGAAGAAGCTTACTTTAACAAATGCCGGGAATTATGAATAAAAAGAAACAGACAGTATACATTCCGTACTGAACCTTTGTAGTTAACCCTAGGTAACTTGAGTTCAGTCTAGTACATATCAGTTCTCTTTCAATTTAACGACTAAGCCGCAAGATGTTGCAATCTATAAGGAACTTAAACATTTTCAATTCTTTTTAATTGTTGTTATAAATATTAGAGTATAACAGTTCTTTGACAAATGAATGATCCATGAGAAATGGCAATCTGAATCCTTTTTCTTGTTGATAAATTGATAATCCATTCTCGATTAAAAAAAAGACCGATGTGAACTAATTTTAGCCAAACGATAACAAAGGCTGTTCACAAAGTTCGGAATTGTCCAACGCAGGGCAGGAGGGCCGGGCTACTTACTATTACTGATCAAATGTAATTTTTTTTTTAGAGCAGTCTTACTGGCTAGGTAATGTAGTTTATCTGAGACTGCAGTATTACAGAAAATATTTTTGGATTCATTTGATGTCAATAAGACGTTTTTTGGTTTATAATTTCTGTCTTTTTTTTCTATTTTTTTTTCTGACGTCTGTTATTTTTGATTACCTGTGTACCTCCCCCTCCAGGTATAATTGCAAGCCTAGTTTCGGTCAACCCAACCTATCGTAGTACAAGTGTCTTAACAGAGTTTACAGAGATAATGTTGATTTAGTTCTGCATCGTTATTATCCCTCCCATTATATCGCCAACCCTTGAGGCAATGTAAGTGTTTGAAAGTTCCAAAATTTTCCTACTTTGCCTTTGCTGGCATTGGGAGAAATTATGGGAAAGAAAAGTTGAACAAGCTGTCTCGTCCATTTATGTAAAGATGTGAGAGTAACTAATATAACTTTAAATTTTTCCAGATTTTACTACGTTCCTTAGCGTTATCAGAAGCTACTCTTATGTCACAAGCAAGAGCCATCTCTAATCCACCACCTTAAGAAAGATTCTTTTACAAATGGTATTGTAAGAACTGTACTGTACTGTACTGTACTGTACTGTACTGTACTGTACTGTACTGTACTGTACTGTACAGTGTTCAGTTTTATTTTATCTGTGGATATCTCAAATTTGGATGAAATGAAGCTTTATTGTTTGTCATTCCCAAAAAATCTGCTATCTTCGATAGTTAAAATAATAATTTGCAAATATTTTTGATCAAGATATTACCAAGTGCTACTCCATCAATTGCTGCAATCACTGGCATAGGTAGTTTATCCCAGGCACCAATAACTTCACGACCCTGGACATAAATCATTAATTGACGACCATGTTTATAAATTAATACTTAATGATTTGAACATAAATCTATTCCTCTCGGCCATGAACATTAATGGATCCTGTTCACAATTAATCTAGAAAACTAACAACCCTGAAGATCTGACTTTCTTTACCTTTGAAACAAAGGGACCAACTTCTGCTGGCGTCATTTTAGCTCTCTCCTTTAGATCAGCTCCGGCACAAAAAGCTCCTAAATCAAATATTAATCAGATTGATATTTGAGCTCTAGACCTCCTCTCCTCCCCCCTCTTATTTATGGATGATGCACATTGCACAACGCTATTTCAGGTTAGGTTAAGATGGATAGATAGAAATTCAGTGATTAATAATTTGTTAATTCTCGCAAATACTTTTTCATTGTTCATCATGATAAAAAAGATTGAATCAGAGGCGGATCCCTCCCCCTTGGGTTTTTGGGCCCTAGAAGATGCTCTGAGATGTAGAAAGAAAAAAATGTAAGACCCCCCCCCCCCCCGATATATTCTTTAGAAAATTAGTTTTACGAATAAATGAGGGATACATTAAAAATTGTTTCGTTTTAACGAAATCATATTGAAAAGCTTAAAATAATTTTTTAGCAATCAGCAAATGAAATTCAAAAATTATAATTGATCCTACCTGATAAATGGGATGAAAAAATTACCTTTAACATGACTCCTGAGAATGAGAACTCGAACATTTTTATCAAACTTGACAGCATCTATAGCATCAGTAAAACTTCGAACCAAGGTCTTGCTCAAAGCATTCTTAAATTGAATTTTTTTTAAACTTTGGATGGATTAATTCATTGAAAAAAAATTATTTTCTTTCTATACCATAGCTTTTGGTCTGTTTATTCCAAAAACAACAATTCCACTATTTTCTTCTTCTAAATATTCAACAACCAGCTCCTAGATAGAAATAAAAATTTAAAATTAGGTCAAGTTGTTTAAGAGAAAACAGAAAATATAATTAGGAAGATATAGTGAAGAAAATGACAGGCCTACAGAGAAAAGTTAATTAAAAAAAGAAGATACCAGTGTTCTGAAGACAAGACAGGACTGGAAAGCAATATTTATAAAGACTGAGAGAGAGAGAGAGGGCATTAGATAAATCGCTAAGAATCTATGACAAAAAAATCATACGCAGCATTTTAGCGATATTTCTTTATAGGTTAAACTAACGGAAATCAAATCCATATTTGTATATTAAGGACACAGAGATCCACACAGCTTGAAAGTTGTGCTTAAAGTTTCAACAACGGGTGTATTTAAGTTTCGCAACGCATCAAGGTATTTCGTTTAAACTTTAAATAACTCATCTTTTGTTATAGCCCGGCACATTTACGTTTTAGAACTTGTTATATGTTTGTAGCTTCAGTTTGAGAGCAGTAGTTGGTAGTTGTCGAAATTCTAAGCTCATGTACATTTAGGTTCTATGTGAGAACAAGAGGGCAAAATGTAACAAGAATATATAAGGCAGTGAAGACCAGAAGTAAGAGAATACATATATAAATTTAGGGACAAAGAGATAGCAAAGAAGAAACTAGGTGACAGGAAATCAAAGAGAGGATTGAGGAATATTTGAACTAGATTAGGCTTAACTACTTCTCTCTGCCACACAGTAGTAGTTCAACTTTTCATTTATTGTGACTTCGGAAGACTAAATTAAAATTGAATCGGCAAAAACAAAAGTAATAGAAACAGAAAGTTTTAGATAGGGTCAGAGGATGGGCTGAGAGAAGGTTTAGCAAGATATAAGAAGAACTAGTGGACCTAGGATAGAGAGACAGCACCTGGTCTGGTTTAATCGAGGATGAATCTTGAATACCACGTTTACACAAGTTTTGCAAGAGTAATCCTTTCCGTCCGTTCTCCATCCCTTTCATCCCAGTTTTCCACTCTGCCATTCCAAATCTCATTATTTTAACAGGCAACATCTGAAATTTACATGGCAACATTAATCTCTCTTGACAACCTATTTTCAGTCCTGGGTTGGAAGGGGTGGATAGGACGAGGTTCAAGGATAGCTCCGGATACAAGAGGACATCCATCCATCTCCCAAACATCAATACCGTGCATGAGTACAGTTTCCTGCAAGTTCAGGAGAATCTAACATCTTTTGTAGAACGTTCTTCAAACTTTATCACATCCAAGAGACTATTATAAGTCTAAGTTGTCATCATTGTTGTTATCATAGAAATAAAAAAGATTAAAAAAAAACTATTTTTCAATATAAAGTTCGGGCGATTATAACAACTTTTGCTAGACGTTCCTTAAACTAGATCACATCACAGAGACTATTATTAGTAATTATTGTCATCATTACTGTTATCATAAAATAGAAAATATACAGTGTTACCCACAGAGGATGAGACTGTAAAGACGACCCGAAACAGATAGTACAAATTCTGTACAATCGTATCTGAAGTTCCATCTTTTGTGGGTAACCCTGTAACTTAAAAAATTTGTATCAGCCCATAATACAACTGTTCTTTAATATAAAGTTATATCCTGAACCCTGCCTGTTCAACTTCGGTCATATTGGACATAATCTCCAGGAGTTGGGGTAGAGATGAAACCTTCAAAACCTCAGTCCTTTCAATAATTTATATTTATTCGTTTATTCGTCTAGAAATGCTATTTTAAACAAGTATACAATACTCATAATGGACAATCTAATAATTTTCCTAACTCAAAATAAGTGTAAAATAGGTGTAAAACAGTGTTAATACGACGCTTGATCTTGATATTCACTGTGACAATTTTTAGATTTTTTGAGAGATAAGAGCGCTTAATCTCTTAATTTTAGTCAGAGTACAATCAGGAAAAGTGATCGATTTGATTCGAAGAACTGCAGAAAACTGGATTCACAGTACATATATAATTTTTACAAATCAAGTGGAGTCATCTTATAGTCATCTGTGATATCCGTGACAGGTATTCTTACTTTTTCAATAAATTGATATTTAAACTATAGGTATCGTTTTCTTTTTTACTAGTTTCCGGTTTTGAATGGGTTTAGAACATGTGTTATTCTGGAGACCGGAAGTTGAAATAGTTGAAAGGATCTTGATTAGCATAAAATATAAATACACATTTAAAAAAAATATTGAAAAGCTTTTCAAAATATCATTTTTACAAAATGGAAATATTCTTACTTCTGTCGAGAAATAAACAGTTAAAAATTCTTAAACCTGTCGAGAAAAAAACAGTTAAATATGCCTAAACCTGTTGAGAAATGAACAATTAATTATTCTTAAACCTGTCGAGAAATAAACAGTTAAATAAGCTTAATCCTGTTGAGAAATGAACAATTAATTATTTTTAAACCTGTCGAGAAATAAACAGTTAAATATGCTTAAACCTGTTGAGAAATGAACAATTAATTATTCTTAAACCTGTTGAAAAATAAACAATTAAATATTCTTAAACCTGTCAAGAAATGACCAATAAAATATTCATAAAACTGTCGAGAAATAAACAGTTAAATATTCATAAATCTGTCAAGAAATGAACAATAAAACATTCATAAAACTGTCGAGAAATAAACAATAAAATATTCTTAAATTTGTCACGAAATGAACACTTAAATATTCTTAAACCTGTCGAGAAATAAACAATAAAATATTCTTAAATCTGTCAAGAAATGAAAACTTAAATATTCTTAAATCTGTCAAAAAATGAACACTTAAATATTTTTAAATCTGTCAAGAAAAGAACTCTTAAATATTCTTAATCTGTCAAGAAATGAACATTTAAATATTCTTAAATCTGTCAAGAAATGAACACTTAAATATTTTTAAATCTGTCAAGTAATGAACACTTAAATATTCTTAAATCTGTCAAGAAATCAACATTTAAATATTCTTAAATCTGTCAAGAAATGAACATTTAAATATTCTTAAATCTGTCAAGAAATGAACATTTAAATATTCTTAAATCTGTCAAGGAATGAACACTTAAATATTCTAAAATATGTCAAGAAATCAACATTTAAATGTTCTTGAATTTGTCAAGAAATGAACACTTGAATATTCTTAAACCTGTAGAGAAATCAATAATTAAATATTCTTAAATCTGTAGAGAAATCAATAATTAAATATTCTTAAATCTGTCAAGAAATGAACGTATAAATGTTCTTGAATTTGTCGTTAAATGAACATTTAAATATTCTTAAACCTGTCGAGAAATGAACACTTAAATATTCTTAAACCTGTCAATAAATGAAAGCTTAAATATTCTTAAATCTGTCAAAAAATTAACACTTAAATATTTTTAAATCTGTCAAGAAATGAACACTTAAATATTCTTAAATCTGTCAAGAAATGAACATTTAAATATTCTTAAATCTGTCAAGAAATGAACACTTCAATATTCTTAAATCTGTCAAGAAATGAAATATTCTTAAATCTGTCAAGAAATGAACATATAAATGTTCTTATATTTGTCACGAAATGAACACTTAAATATTCTTAAACCTGTAGAGAAATCAATAATTAAATATTCTTAAATCTGTAGAGAAATCAATAATTAAATATTCTTAAATCTGTCGAGAAATAAACAGTTAAATATGCTTAAACCTGTTGAGAAATGAACAATTAATTATTCTTAAACCTGTTGAAAAATAAACAATTAATTATTCTTAAACCTGTCGAGAAATAAACAATTAAATATTCTTAAACCTGTCAAGAAATGAAAACTTAAATATTCTTAAATCTGTCAAAAAATGAACACTTAAATATTCTTAAATCTTTCAAGAAATGAACACTTAAATATTCTTAAATCTGTCAAGTAATGAACACTTAAATATTCTTAAATCTGTCAAGAAATCAACATTTAAATGTTCTTGAATTTGTCAAGAAATGAACACTTAAATATTCTTATATCTGTCAAGAAATGAACACTTAAATATTCTTAAATCTGTCAAGAAATGAACATATAAATGTTCTTGAATTTGTCACGAAACGAACACTTGAATATTCTTAAACCTGTAGAGAAATCAATAATTTAATATTCTTAAATCTGTCAAGAAATGAACGTATAAATCTTCTTGAATTTGTCGTGAAATGAACATTTAAATATTCTTAAACCTGTCGAGAAATAAAAAATTAAATATTCTTAAACCTGTCAAGAATTGAAAACTTAAATATTCTGAAATCTGTCAAAAAATGAACACTTAAATATTCTTATATCTGTCAAGAAATGAACACTTAAATATTCTTAAATCTGTCAAGAAATGAACATATAAATGTTCTTGAATTTGTCGTGAAATGAACATATAAGAATTCCTGAATCGGTCGAGAAATGCAGAAAGGGTGTAGAGAAGAACTTTAAAGCTTCCAGCAATCACCTGAATCAAGAATACTGTAGAAATAGAATAAAATGATTACAAGTTTTAAAATTAAAATTATCAATTGGCAAAAAGTATTAAAACAGAAATATATTGGGAGGACCATTTACACTATTACACAAAACACATGGAGCTGTTTATTTTTTTTAAATGGGTCAAATTTTCGGGGTTAAAAAGAATACCACCCCCCCCTTTTTCTCATATGAGGTTCTTCCGTGATTAAATTTTAATTAACAATTGTATTTCTTTCTTGTGAAATAATTTGTTTAAATCTAAGTCTGATGTTTATTGAATCTCACTGAACCTTATCCCAGAGCCTTGATAGATGATAAGGTTGAAGCATGGTAGAGAATGCTGCACTGATTATCCCTGAACCTGAGATATCGTCCAGTAAACCATACAGTTCCAGATGTGCAACAAGTTCTCCATCTTCTACAATACAAAGGGCGGTAATTCTTGAATTTTACGGGTGTTCCAATAAACATGAGAAATCGTCAAAGAGATAATCAAAAGAAGAACGTACACCTTGACAGCTTGGATTTATAAAAATTCACACGGATATTATAATAATTTTTAACCATATTGACTTTATGTAATACTAGCTCCCCACACAGCTTTGCCTGGCTTAACTTTCTATGTAAGTAAACCAACACAATTTAGAATTTTTAACCCAAACTCAGAACATTTCTGTGGTTCTACCAAGTTCCCTTATCATAATTTAAGGCAAATTGGTCAAGGGGTTCCTGATTTATGATCGCACATACATACAGACAGACAAACAGAGATTACTACTTTATTTATAGATAAATTGAACATTTATTGTTTCAGTCAATTTTGGAGTTAGTAAAATTGTTCACCAAATCAAGGAAAAATCTAAGAGTTACCGCTGGTAATTGTTTAATTAGAAAAAATGCAGTGAATCATATATAAAAACAATGATTTTTAAACAATGAAATTTATAAACTTAGTTCATGAAATTATAAATCTATAAACTTGGAGATATTATTTCGTCCGAAAACTATATATTACTAGGCTTTTAGGGCGCTTCGCGCCCATCTTCTATTCAAATTGTGAACATGTTCTTAATGTAACATTGAAAAACAAAGAAAAAAAAATTTCGCGGATTTTATAAGAAAGATTTGCGGATTTTCAAGATTTTAAATTTTTTTTACAAAAATTAAAAGCTTTTCAACACAATTTTTTTAATTTTCATCATTCATAAACCTTCCCTGTGGTAATGCGAGATCCCACAAAAAATTTGGGCTTGACCGGTTCAGCCGTTTTGACGTTTATTGGATACAAACAAACAGACAAACAAACAGACAGACAAGCCAAATTTATATATAGATATAATTATATATATGCATTAATATGAAACTATTGTTGCATGTTCTTTCAAAATAAATCAATATATCTATTTACTTGGATTACATGTAATTGCTCTTAAATATGTACGTGTTATCTGACAGAAACTTTGATATATAATCATCATACTCTATCTATACAGGGTGAGCCAAAAAAAGTATGATAAGTGGCGTCTGATGCAAAATTGTACCTTTTTTGTGCAACTCTCTTGTATGGAATTTTTTCAATATTTCTTGAAAATCTTTTATTTATTTTTGGTACTACAATGGTCAACAAAAATCCGAGAAACTTTTTTTCTCTTTTAAAATAAATATATTTTAAGATTACATATTTAAAGTCTGATGGGCCATAAACCTTTCCTGGGGCCACTTGAGGTCCCATACAAAATTTGGGCCTGATCGGTTCAGCCGTTTTGACGTTTAGTGGACACAAAGAAACAGACAAACACCCAAACAAACAGACAGACAAGCTAAATCTGTATATAAATTTAGCTTGTCTGTCTTTTTGTTTGTTTCCAATAAAGGTCAAAACGGCGGAACCGATCAGGCCCAAATTTTTGGTGGGACATCACGTGACCACAGGGAAGGTTTATGAATGATAAAAATTTAAAAAAAAATGTCTTTTAAAGGTTTTTATTTGTGTAAAAAAATTTTAATTCTTGAAAATCCGCGAATTTCTTTTTAAAAATCCGCAAAATTTTTTTCTTCTTTGTTTTAAAATGTAAACAAAAAGAACATGTTCACAATTTAAATAGAAGATGGGCACGAAGCGCCCTAAAAGCCTAGTTTATATATAGATTTCTATTAATTCCTAGAATTTTATAAAGATTGAATCACAGAATCACAGAAAATTAGCAAAATTGTAATTTGTCCCTCACTAAAGCTCGGGACAAAACTAAATCTAAAACGACTTGAACCTTCTCGATAAAAAAAAATTTCTGTCACAATAACAGTGTAATAAATAGTAATTCAATCTTTATAAAAAATTCTAGAATTTGATAGATATGGTATATATACACATTTTTGCTTTCCTGAACTTGAGATTTTGAGAGAAAAAAGTTTCGCGGATTTTTTTGGGCAATTGGAGTACCAAAAAAAGATTCCAAAATATTGAAAAAATAACATACAGGAGCATAGCACAATTTTGCACCAGACGCCGCTAATAGCCTAATCACACTTTTTTTGACTCACCCTGTACAATATTGGGTAAAAGTTGATTTATTAATTACTTTTAAATAAGAATTTAGCTAAATAAATAAAATATATTTCCTGCTCCTTAAATATTGGAACAGATTGTCATAAACAAAATTATATCAATAGAAAAAGTTACACAACACTTTTGTTTCAAATCAATATTTAAAAAAAAATATTGGAAAACATACAAAATTATTCGGCCTTTTGTCACATTTAATTTTTTATGTTTTTATGTTTTCAAAAATTTATCTAGAACGTCTAACCTTTGAGAAGTTTAAGCATGCAGTCCCTTATTCCTCTCCAGTCTCGAGAATTATTCCACAAAAACTCATGCAGTTTACTCCCAACCCATAGTACCTAACCATAGAGTAATCATTGAGTAAATATAGTTTACTCCCAACCCATAGTACCTAACCATAGAGTAATCATTAAGTAAATATAGTTTACTCCCAACCCATAGTACCTAACCATAGAGTAATCATTAAGTAAATATAGTTTACTCCCAACCCATAGTACCTAACCATAGAGTAATCATTAAGTAAATATAGTTTACTCCCAACCCATAGTACCTAACCATAGAGTAATCATTAAGTAAATATAGTTTACTCCCAACCCATAGTACCTAACCATAGAGTAATCATTAAGTAAATATNCTCCCAACCCATAGAACCTAGTCATAGAGTAATCATCAAATAAATATAGTTTACTTCCAACCCATAGTACCTGCCCATAAAGTAATCATTGAGTAAATATAGTTTATTTCCAACCCATAGAACCTAGTCACAGAGTAATCAATGAGTAAATATAGTTTACTCCCAACCCATAGTACCATAGTATCTAGTCATAGAGTAAGCATTAAGAAAATATAATTTACTCCCAACCTAACCATGAGTTACTATAGAGTAAATGTAGTTTACTCCCAAAAAATAGTCAATCAAATCAAACCTTTAGGGCGGTCCTACTATCCACGATTCAATCTTGAGATGACATTACAAAACCAAGAATGAAGCAAGGCCTTATGGCTCATAGTACCTAGTCACAAAGTAACCATTGAGTAAATATAGCTTACTCCCAACCCATAATTTCTAGTCATAGAGTAATCACTTAATAAATAGTACCGCCCATAGAGTAACCATTGAGTATATATAGTTTACTCCTAACCTATAGTGCAGCTAGTCATAGAGTAAACATTGAGTAAAAGTTTACTCCCAACCCATAGTATACACAGCTTACCTGATCCTGAAGTAGGTGGTACTTTAAGGACCAAGAAATCTAAAAACATATTTGGATCCGAGAAGGTCTCTGATTTCAGATCAATTTTAACTCAAACCCTAGGAGTAGCTTTTCATAGCAACAAACTTTCAAACCACTTTTCTAATTTTTAATCCTAAGTTCTCTATTAGAATCATGGTTCAGTTATTAAGATCAGATAACTTTCATTTTTTATAATTTTTTATCAGAACTTAGCTTTATTTCTAAAAGAATTAAGTTCTTGCCTCAAGCTCAAACTTTGTATCTATATCTTTGCAACCTGATGGTGGGAATTTTTGTTATTTCAAACTTGGACTAGGGTTTTGCCTCACACCCCTCTCGAACAAAAAAGGAGATTAAAATCACATGGGATCATCTGTCCCGAGTGAAACTGGATGTCAAAAAACGTGTTTTACTCTTTCAGTCATAATGACCTCAATTGCCTTTTGATTGAATATGTTTTTCCTATTATACAAACAAAGTGTGTTTTGTGGGCATTTTCTTGCTTTTAAACATTTTCATAAAAAGTACTGGAACACCTGTAAAATCAATGGTTCGGGTATCATACTCCAAGGTTTGGATGATACACTTCTAGGTTTAGATGATAAACTTCTTGATTTAGATGATAAATCCGTGGTTCGGGTATCATACTCCAAGGTTTGGATGATAAATTCCAAGGTTTGGATGATAAACTTCTTGATTTAGATGATAAATCCGTGGTTCGGGTATCATACTCCAAGGTTTGGATGATACACTTCTTGATTTAGATGATAAATCCGTGGTTTAGGTAATAAATTCAAAGGTTTAGATGACAAACTTCTAGGTTTAGATGATAAACTTCTTGATTTAGATGATAAATCCGTGGTTTAGGTAATAAATAAAAAGGTTTAGATGACAAACTTCTAGGTTTAGATGATAAATCATTACCATACCAAGCTGTTCAACTAAACCATGGAAAGATTCATCTAAACCTTGAAATTTATAGCCTGAACCTTTAAGATTAACGTCCTAACCATGGAATTTTTGTTATCTAAATCTAGAAGTTTGTCATCCAAACCTTGGATTATGCAACCTGAACTATGGGTTTTATCAGCTAAGCCTTGAAGTGTATCCCTGAACCTTAAAGTTTAACCATAGAGTTTTTCATTTGAAACTTAAAGTTTATTCCCTGGACCTTGGAGTTTGTCAACTTTATCTTACAGTTCATCATCTGAACCATGGCGTTTCTTATTTAAATCATGAAGGTTTTCATATAAACCTTGGAGCCTTTTATTTAAACCATGGACTTTTTCATTTAAACCACGGAGTTTTACATTTTACTAAGAGTTTTTTATTTAAAATATTTAGGTTTTTTGTCGAAACCATGGATTTTTTCGTTAATCCTTGGAGTTGATTACTGAAACCATAGATTTACCATCTAAACCTTTAAATTTACTACCTAAACCAAGGGGTTTATCATCTAAACCTTGGAGTAAAATACCTGAACCATGGATTTTACAGGTTTCCAACTCTCAGTGCTAATTATGAAAATTTTCAAAGAAGAAAATACCTACACAAATATGTTTTTCTTGTAGAATATGCAAAACATATTCAATCCATGGTCAATTGAGGACATCATGACTCAAAGAGTAAAAAACATGTTTCTGTTCCTCGCGAGCATAGCGAGTTAGCGTCAATATCATTCTTTCCCAGACTTTTGAGAAAGTTTCTTCTAATCTAAAACTGTGATTGAACACGTTGTATGTTATGCATAAAAAATATTGCGTTTTGTATTTTTGGTGTCCCAAAAAATGGTCTTTAACTTCAAAGAAGCAGATCAAAGGTCGTCCAATAGAAATCCAGCTTTCACTTGGGACAGATCGTCAATCTTTTTTGTTCGGGAGCGGCGTGAGGTAAAACCCTAGTCTAAGCTTGAAAAAACAAAAATTTAGACCATTAGGATTAAAAATTAGAAAAGTAGTTTGAAAGTTTGTAGCTATGGAAAGCTACTCCTAGGGATTGAGTGAAAATTGATCTGAAATCAGGAGACCTTCACGGATCCTTGGTCCTTATAGTACCACCTACTTCAGGTTCAGGTCAGCTGTGGGTACCTAACCATAGAGTAACCATTGAGTAAATACAGTTTACTCCCAATCCATAGTATCTAGTCATAGAGTAACAATAAAGTAAATATATTTTACTCGAAACCCATAGTATCTAGTCATAGAGTAACCATTGAGTAAATATAATTTACTCCCAACCCATAGTACAGCTAGTCATACCAAAAAGCTTTAAAAAGTTTATCTACAGAATTTTCATTTTTATCAAATTACATCTTTGAGTTTAAAAAAGGCGTTTTTTCCCTACAATAATTTGTGGACTACTGTACCAAGCATGTTTATATATATATATATATATAAGTTAGAATTTTACTGAACGTTTTCTCTATTTACAATCCCAAAGGTCAAACTTTGTTGTATGTGTAAACAAGTATTCTATTTTAGTATTTAACATGTATCGTGGAACTCTCTAGAATAATTTATTCTATAAATCTTCTGCAACCTCCAACCCTACCCCAGACCACACAAGCAAGATTATTTAAACAATAATATTCTATACTATTCCCAGGTTTCATTAACCATAAACAAAACTCAAACACGCTTTGCATTTCAAGTTTTTATTTTACACCGAAGGAGAAAAATTTAATTAAATCTAAACCAAGTATCTTGTTTTATTGACCTAATTTACATGCATATTGCATAATATTACTATTAAACCACATATTTAACATTATTCTGAAGTCATGTGTTACTGTTGAAAGGAGGGAGGGTGTCTACTGTCTATGTCAGAAAACTTAAATCCCCCCCCCCCCCCCCAATGAGGCGAAGATCAACAAACATAAAACGCAAACAGTGTACTGCAGTTCGTGGTAAAAGAAACCAAAACAATCTCTCCTTCGAACAAAGTTTGTTTACTTCACCATACTAATATTTGAAGCTTATTGAGATGCAACTTCAAGAAGTACGGAACAAGTTTAACTCATTCTCTCACAATAGGAAGATAACCCGATTAATCATGGGTTCATTTAAAAGTTTCTAGCTCAGATAATGATATTTTTTGTTTTGATTCTACCTCTGGTTCAGTTTGGAGAATGTTGAGAAGAGCAGAGATGATTCTTCGGAAATTTTCATTTTCCTGTTCCATCAGCTGATCAGCAATATCAAACTAGAATATATAATTTCTGTTCTATCAGCTGATTAGCAATATCAAACTGGAGTATATTCCTGTTCTTTCAGCTGATTAGCAATATCAACTAGAGTATATAATTCATGTTCCATGAACTGATCAGCAATATCATAAAACTAGAATATATAATTTTTGTTCTATCAGCTGATCAGCAATATCAAACTAGAGTATATTCCTGTTCTTTCAGCTGATTAGCAATATCAACTAGAGTATATAATTCATGTTCCATGAGCTGATCAGCAATATCATCAAACTAGAATATATAATTCCTGTTCTATCAGTTGATCAGCAATATAAAACTAGAGTATATTCCTGTTCTTTCAGCTAATCGGCAATATCAAACTAGAATATATAATTCCTATTCTATCAGCTGATCAGCAGTATCAAACTAGAGTATATTCCTGTTCTATCAGCTAATCGGCAATATCAAACTAGAATATACAATTCCTATTCTATCAGCTGATCAGCAATATCAAACTAGAGTATATTCCTGTTCTTTCAGCTGATTAGCAATATCAACTAGAGTATATAATTCATTTTCCATCAGCTGATCAGCAATATCATCAAACTAGAATATATAATTCCTGTTCTATCAGTTGATCAGCAATATAAAACTAGAGTATATAATTCCTGATCAGCAATATCAAACTAGAGTATATAATTTCTTTTCCATCAGCAATATCAAACTAGAATAAATAATTCCTGTTCTATCAGTTGATCAGCAATATAATTCCTGATCAGCAATATCAAACTAAAATATATAATTCCTTTTCTATCAGACATAAAGTCTGACATGTCTGATTTACAACGGTACTCAATGGAGGGGCAAATGGAATTACGGCTACAGTCCCTTTAGCCAGATATTTAGCACTATAGCGTACATATATGACATTAAGTTTTAAGAGCTGATTAGAAAAATTAGAATATTGTATTTATTTTATTTTATAAACTGAATAAAATAATCTTCTTATATTCAAAATATACCTGGCGAACCAAATCAAATTAGAATTTATTATATTTAAGTATTCATCCATTGAATTTTGTATTTTCTACTGGAATATATAAAATTTAGCTGAGAGAAGGTTCTAGAATGGGATCCACCCTTCTCTTCTTACCTACGTCATTGGAATTTTATTTCAGACCAACAAAATTAAATTTTAATTTAAATCAAATTTAATGAATTTTAATTGGATTTAAGATTAATAATTATGCTAAAAACTTGTTATTTAATAATTTAATCATTTTTGACGGGACAAAAACCAGACAAACAGGACAAAATCAGCTAATCATTTATAAGGGAAATTAAGCTAATCAATAATAAGGGAAATTTAAGAAAAATAAAAACATCATGTATAAAATAGAAAAATATCGTTTAAAAGATAACTTATTAAAATCTGATATTAATGATAAGAAGTCATTTAGACGAAGGTAATGTAATTAACAGTAACAATTTTTGTTAAATAAATAAATCATATAATTTCCTGTTAATTTCCTTATTCTCTCTTTATACGGATTTCTACAAATTCCGTACTGTAAGGTTGTCAACAGGAGCTTATTCAGGAATTTGTCCGTGAACAGGGGGTAAAGAATCAGCCCCCCTTTGGCCTGAAAACCCCCTGAAATAAATAGATTTCAGGGGGTTCAGGGAGGGCTTAGCCCCCAGAGCCCCCCCCCCGGAATACGCCTCTGGTTGTCAAAATGCGTGTTCTACGATAATTTGCAAACTTAGAGCAAATCTTCATTACGAAACTAGGAGGACCTTCACACACAACTGCAACAATGATCATTCAGCTTTTTCTTGTTACAAGTAGGACAATTTTAGTAAATTATTTCCTAGACACAGTGAGGCTTAACCCGTTCAAGACATGAAGATTGTGCTCAGAGATGAAATTAATTCTACGCTAAAGAGAAGGTCAACCTGAGTTCAAAATGTAAAAAATCAAAATCCGGGACCGAGGGAATCCTGAGAAAATCCTCATTTAAGATTCGGAGAAATTCAGGTTTCAGTCCTGATTTCAGATAATTAATAGTTCAAAATATTTTAGGACAAATATGTATATGTACGACCCTTATTATTTTTGCCATATTTTGGGGGGTTATTGTAAACGATGTTTTGTCTAAAACGCCTTTAAATGGCAGTTTCTGCGCTACGCTTACAAAATTTAGATTAAGAAGAGGAAAATTGTATTTTTAAAACAAATGAGGAAAAATATATATATTTGTTTCTTTTTATTGCAGAATTGTTATAATAATATCTCAGAAGTGCCTGATATTATATGAGCGGACAGTTTTCTTCATTTCTCCAGATATCCAGGATGATCCAGAGACAGTCACAACTTGTTAAAATCTTGATGAGTTGACTTTAGATCCGTGGTTTATATTAAACATCTTGGCTTTGATGGTAAACTCCATGGTTCAGGTGATAAACTATATGGTTTGAATGAAAAACTCCCTCTTTAGCGTATAATTAATTTCATGTCTGAGCACAAACTTCATGTCTTGAAAGGGTGAAGCCTCACTGTGTAGAAGAACTTTTCATTCAACAATGAACCATCGAGAAATTGTTTAAATTTTACAATACTATTTTCTAGTTTAGAGAATCTATCCATCAATCTATAAATGCTTAGTTAATTGTAGGGTAAAATGAATTTCTAATAACCGTTAATTAAGGCTAACTGAAAAAAAACTCACAATACTGCCCAAAAATCTTAATACTGGATTTTTCAAGTGTTAAGTTCACAAATAATATTCTGGTTTTCAATGTTTATCAACCCTTAGATGAAGAATTGTTAAAGGTGGTAGCTAATAAAGCCATATTTAGAGGTTTTACCCAAGGGCTGAGATTGACGGTTTGATAGTGTTTGAACCATTTATCTAATTATGAGCACAACAAACATAGTCTATGTAAGTTCTACAAAAAAACTAATCGAAAAAAAAGTGTCTTTTAAAGCGTTTATTAAACTACAAATACTATAAGTTAAATTTATTATCAATAAAAATTGAATATTGTTGAGAGTTTTTACATTAATTTCATATCAAAATTGAGATTTCAATGTGTCAACTACAATTGATCAGAAACACCTTGAGGTTGGTGAATGGTGAGTATTGAAGTAATACCACTTAAAGATTGCATCTGTTCTACTATATTATCATTGTTATTATTCACACAGAAAATTATTAAAAGATTATAAAAAATCACACTCCGGACTAAAATGCAATATTGAAAGTTGTAAAGGAAAAAGTTAAGATTTCAGTTCCATATTATATAAAATTCATGAATATCCCTCCCTCCCGCCATCCCACTCCCTTCCCTCACCGGTTGGGGACAAGGAGAAAATATGATTAGTTCCCTGTCAACCAAATTTATTCGACTTAGATATCTCTGTAGTTGGAAGCTCCTTGCATAACTAGATTCTGGGTTGAGATCAAACAATTTAAAAATGGCATCTTTCAATGGCGTTTTCTTTCACTTAGGAGTGAGTAAGGTTTTCCTCCGTGTTTGCTCCACTCCTTCTCGAACTCGGACTCGAGCACCTCGGCCCCTCGCTTTCTCGTCAACCCGGTTTCCTCGAGGCTTAGTTCACACATATTGATGTCGTCTTTCCCGGCCACAAGAAGGATCGGAGGTTTTCCCTCATGCAACTCCATCTGTCGAACAATCCACTGACCGTCGAAATGCGCGTACCACCATCCTCGACCGATCTGGTGCGCCGGTTCGACAACAACCCCAGCCTCTGGTCGAACAAATGGAATTCTGAAATACCTTTGGCTGGTCGCAGTGATAGGTTTCTTTAATGTTCCGTGGGTTGGTTTAGCAGACTCTTCCATCAGCATACTTGGTGCTCTCATATTCTCATCAAATGTTGAACTCTTTTTCTTGTTCCTCGCTTTCCAAGCATGGTAAACCTTGAGTCTTCTATGAAATTCCTCCCGACATGCTTCCAGTAGTTCAATATCACAGGAGGTATTTATTGTGTCTCGGAGCTCCGCATATTTCCACTTTGAAAGATCAAATTTACTGGTCGGAGAAGGAAGTCCATTCTCTTTCTTTTTCTCTGGAATTTTATTCTCAGGTCGGATAACCTCTTCTACTCCTCCTCTGCTCTCTGCAGCCAGTCTCAGTGCTAGTTCGTGATCTCTTCTTTCCTGCTCCATCTGTTTCTGTAGAGCAGCGTATTTTGCCTCAGCATCCTCTAACTGTCTTTGTAGAGCTAGGGCCTGGTTCTTGTCTCTCTCCTCCCGTTCCAACCTTCGTTCCTCCTCTTCCTCCTGCTTTCTTCTGTTCTCCATCTCAATCTTTTGAATTTTCTCACTTTCCAACCTAACCTGCTCCAGTCTCTCTTCTTCCTTTCGTCGACGTTCACGTTCCATTTCCTCTTGAAGACGTCGTAGTTTCTCCTGTTCAGCTTGGATCTTTTCCTGCTCAATCTTTCGCTCGGCATTTTTCACTTCCTTCTTTATGCTCATGAGAAGATCTTGATACATGCTTTCTATAGCGTGGCTTTGAATTCTTGGACTCAGTTTAATCCTGGAGATGCTTTCTTCTATCCTGAAAACCATTTCGTCCGCGGTGGAGTTCACTTGATCCTTTCCGTCCTTGAGATTCATCCCGAGATCTCTAATCTGCTCAACCTGACTTATCAGGGTCCGGAGCTGCTTGATCCCTTGGTATCGAGGAGCATGTTGCTTCTTAGCCAAATACATCCTAATATTAGACTGAATAGATACAAGTGCTGCACGCCTATACAGTATCTTATTTTTCAACTTGATAACCTCCAGAGCACACCATTGCGCCTTTCTCCATCTACTACAGATCAACCATTTCTTCACCTTTTCAATCAGTTTTCGCAGATTTTCTGGATCCGATTTCATCATTTGATCAAACTCAGCAAACTTGCCGGGCCTGAAGAATACCTTAGTCATTCCAAACTGAAAATCTTTATCGTTCAAACCCAGAGCCTTAAAGAGAGCTTTACAGAATAGCCTTGAATCAAGTCTGGCAAGATTTGGAGGAAGAAAATCTCTGTACATATTGTATAACTCGGAGAAGGGTGCACGGCTTGGGAAACCTTGTTGCATCAACTCCAGTACAGTTGTCATACCTGCACACTGCAGCTGGGACAATACACTCCCACTCTCATAACTGTGTGCAATCATCTTTACATTGGGTTTAATACATCGGATAAAGTTGGTTCCGGTCGACCGCAGTTTTGTCATCAGATCTCCGAGCTGGGTTTTAAACTTACTCCCAACCGAGAGAAAGTTAAGTTTCCCTTGCCTCTTGTTGAAATCTTCTCCAGCTGGGAACAGGTTCTGGATAAACGGGTTCTTGCACTCCTGCACCACGGCCTCCAGGGAGGCGTGGAGTGCATCATTATTCTTCTCTATGAAGAACCTGGTCTGGTAGCAAACTGCTCCGGCAAAATGTCGAATTATAAATCCGTCCTCGTCCCGTAGTTCTCGGTGCTCCTTGAGCTTGGATTTCCTAGGAAGGTTCAATCTGAAGTGGTTGATGTTGTTAGAATGAAGCTGTTGTGTGAAGTGTTGGTAGTTTGGCTTGGGTAGTTTAGATTCTTCATCTAATAAACTAAATATACCACTGCACTTCGTTTCTATTAGATCAATACAATCCTGGTTATCCACGAAGCTAACGTTCTTGACTCCCAACCCTTCCTTGCTGTAAAGATCCTGCTCGTCCTTGAGTATCCGCTGGTTAAAGAACTGCTGCAGCTTCTCGTTGCAGTAGTTGATGCAGAACTGCTCGAAGCTGTTCACAGTGAAGTATTCAAATCCAGCAATATCCAGAACTCCGATATAATACTTGGATTCCTGAAATATATCAACATTTTAAAACTTTGGAGTAAAATTTTATGGAATCATTAAAATAATAAAATTTTGTCACCCAAAAATATTTGTTCAGAGGTTATAAAATACTGCAAACTTTCACAAAAAATTTGAAATCTTGCATTTAAAGGGACTGAACGAGTAAAATGTCAATGCCCGCTTCATAAAGGTATCCCTGAAACCTTTATCTGATCAATAATGTGCAAGATATGGTAGTTTTATAGATTTAAAAGTTTTCAAAATTATAAACATTGATATCCAATTCATACTTGATCAGCCACAGCTTTTAAGGGTACCCTAGTGAATCAAGTATTGACATCTTTACATGGAGGGTCAAAAGAAATGACATTCCCTTTAATCATAAAAATTCTTCCGTATCCCGGAAACCTTGAATACATTTCTAGCTAAATCCCAACCCGTGTCTTCTCTAATCTTATCTTCTAATTAAGAATAATTCATTAATTCCTGAATCTAATTTTAAATAAATTCTAAATTCAAACATGAGCAACCAGCAAACTATTAGACACGCTTAATTCATGAATATTAATGTTTGTAACACTGACTCTAGATCATCGGTTGCTAGGCCAGATATGTTCTGTAAGTACTAAGTATGCACAGATTTTTTTTTTCATTTAACCCGTAAGAAGACAGGGAGGGAGCGAGGATTATAGGGCCATCTATTCATAACAATTTTTCACTAGCTGAACAAAAAAGTAAATACAAGAAAGATTTATAAAGAATTTTACCTGAAAAGGAATACTCTGATTGATCCTAGCGACAATGAAGTCGAAAAGGCGAGCGTACAAAGATTTAGCGAGTGCGTCGCGCGCACTTGCTGCGTCTGAGGATTTGAGAGGAACCAGGATGACTGTCCCGAAACTTCCAGATTTACTTGTCATCACCCTTAGAACAATAAATTTTATTTCTCTAGGAAAATAAAGATGAATGAAGGATCATGATGGGTCGGAACTATGTTGAAGGGTGGTGGTGAGAAGAGAGGATTGAAGATGGTAAGAATAAGGGGGGGGAGGGTGGAGTAGAATAACTAGAGGGGTTTAGAATATTAAGAAGGTGTGAATGTGAGAAGGAAGAGATATTTTGAGAAGGTCTGGGGAAAGTGTGAGAAGAAAGAGAAGGTTGTGGAGTGTGAGAACGAAGAGAAGGTTGGGGAAAATATGAGAAGAAAGAGAAGGTTGGGGAAAGTGTGAAAAGAAAGAGAAGGTTGGGAAAAGAGTAAGAAAAAAGAGAAGGTTGGGGAAAATATGAGAAGGAAGAAAAGATTGGGGAGAGTGTGAGAAGGAAGAGAAGGATGGGGTAGGTGTGAGAAGAAAGAGAAGTTTTTTGAAGGTTGTGGAAAGTTTGGGAAGGTGGGAGAAGGCAGAAAGAATTGCCTAGAAGTAAGGCGATAAATGTTGCAAATAATTTATATATAAATTTGACTAGACTGTTTGTTTGGGTGCATGTTTGTTTGCATCCAATAAACGTCAAAACCGATCGGGCCAAAATTTTTTGTGGGATCTCGCGTGACCCCAGAGAAGGTTTAAGAATGATAAAATTTTTAAAAATTTGTGTTTAAAAGTTTTTCATTGTTGTAAAAATTTTTAAAATCTTGAAAATCCGCAAATCTTTTATATAAAATCCACGAAATTTTTTTTCCTTTGTTTTTCAATGGTAAAATGAGAACATGTTCACAATTGAAATAGCTAAAATCCTAGTAATTAAAAACTAAACAAGGTAATTCAAAGACTATAGGCAAAACAGTATACAGTGCTTACAAAAAGAAAGTGGATTAAGAAGGTTGCCTAAAACTGACAGTTTAATAACATAACACCATACAAAATTAGGTTTCGAAGTGGAAAGTTCAAACCTTAAAGTTTCGGTTAGAATGTTTATTCTACTATTTTGCTCAAAGGTTGTATAGATCACAGTCCACTTTATTTTAACGCTCAATGTATCTCAGCATGGTGTAACCAACTTAAAATAAAATATTTATAGTATCCTGCTCTACCTGCTAGTAAGAGCTGATCTGAGTTCCTGAACCTCTAGCTGGAGCAAGGATGCTGTGACCGCTAGGCTGGGTTCACTTTGCTCCGTGACCTTGCATCCTCCATGGGAGTCCTCCGTATCCTCCTGAAAAAAAAGAAATAGAAATTTAGGTCGACTTAGTTTTTTTTTGGTACAAATATTAAAAAAGATGCATGAACAGTCAAATTGCGGGCCACCCTTTTTACTCTTGTATTGTCGAGATCAATAGTTTATTTCGTTCTTTTGTAAATCTGCAGTGTAATTGTACCCTGAAGGAATAATTGAAACAAAGACATTGATTATCAAATTTAAAGTGCCCAAAGTGGATATCGAGATCAAGCAATCTGGATTATAAGTTTTCAACACAGAAGTTCCCAGCTCAAGTACAAAGTACTTTGTATTAAAAGTACAGATCAAGTACAAACAGATATTCTTTTTTCTTTTCTTTTACGTCATGGCCATTTTTTAAAGACTAAATGAGTTCAAGGTGTAGGATATAAAAACGTTGAAGAAGAATGCCAGGTGCATAATGATAAAACAGGTTTGGACTGAACCAAAAAAAACTGCCGTGCGAAAAATAAATTTTATTTTATTATTAGCTAAATTCATACCAGTAACAAATTTGTTCCATTAAAAAACTATTTTTTAACTGTTTCCCTGGTCGCCAGGCATGAACAAGTTTTAACCTAATTAGTTGAAGGCTAGATGTAGCAAGGACAATTTTTTAAACAATTAGATTCTTTTGAATATAATTATCACGAAACAAAGAACAGCAGTGAGAATAAAAAAGTGTGCGAGTTTTCACAAATCTAATTTAAGTTGTGTCTGAAAACAGCGAAGATGTTTCAGATTACACGGATAGGATAAGAGAGGTTATTGTGATTAAAGGGACTGTACACGTAAATTTAAGTTAAGGGTGAGAGGTCTAATTAACAACGGTACCAATTAAACTTGTCTGAAAATTTACTTTTTTATACTGCAGAAAATTGAAAGATAATTAATATATTTTCTAGTAAATAAAACGAGGATCTCTCCTCTTTTTCACTTAGATAAAGGTTTAAGGATACAGTTGTGAATCGTATATAGAGAGGAAAATTTTAAACAACGACTACAAGTGCAGTCCCTTTATTTTTCAGTATATTTGTTTATAATAACCAAAATAACCTCCCAAAATGTTCCAGCGGGTCAAGAATAAATTCAAGAATTCAGTACCCTAAAAAGTAAAATTTTCCGACCTAATTGAAGGGTTAGCTCTCATGTCCTATCTTTGAAATCTGTGAAATGTATTTTAAAATTTAGCTTTAATTTGGTCTAAATTTGACATTGCATTGACTCTCTTGTTTATATTTCAAGATTTAGTGGGACTAAACGTGAAATAAACAACTGCATGTTCATCTTATAAGATTTCTAAAACTAAAGAACATAGTTTTTGGCTGAAACATGATGACCCAAGAACTTTTAACCTGAGATTTAAAACTTCCCTACGATCCCTGTAGTTTTTAAAATCTAATGAAAAAGTATTAAAGGGTAAAAAGTATGAAGTGTGAAAAATAGATTGAATTCCTTAATCTGCATATATTCGACGAAACCAGCGCTAAACCAAGAAATAGTAAAGTTTTACTGCTTCACAACTTTCTCTGCAATCTCATTATAATCTGGGTAAAGAGGGATGGGGGGGGGGGGACATTACACAATTTTATCTTATATTAGACGTTTGACGAACACTAGGAGTATTTGGTGTATGCGCAGTTGAACTAAGTTAGTATATTTAAATTCAACGAAAATTGTGATAATTTATCATACTATTATCTCAGTTTTATGGCAACGTAGCATATATTAAAACTATGTATAACCCCCCCCCCCAACCCCCCAACCCCAGGGAAAATCAATAATTACCTGGAATAGAATATTCCCCAGGTGAAGGACAGATGCAATGGTCGTGTACACGCTCATCCTCTCCTCAACACTCAATCCAATATTACCGAGATCTTCATCCACTTTCCGGAAATCCATCACATCGTCCAACATCCCATCTTTTAGCCCACCGTACTTCCGGTGTGCCTCGGACAACCGGTTTCCGGGAACCGACTCTTTATTCCTCTCCGAGATGAAGTACTGCGTGCACCCCCCGGAGAGATATCTGAACTTGTCCGGAGGAGAGAGATGAAGAGATTCCTGAAGATGTTGCGGAGCTCCAGCACACAGTTGGTAGAATATATGATAATTTCGCTCCTGTGGTCCCTGACTCACAACCCTGGCACGCTCCAGTAAGTAGTGAGATATATATCCTCCGGCAACCTGACACTTTCCGTCAAAATGAATCTCAATGAATTTACCAAACCTTGAGGAGTTGTTATTCCGGGTTGTTTTGGCGTTACCAAAAGACTCCAGGATTGGGTTGGATTGGAGTATTTTCTCCTCCAGTACTCCGGACTCCCGGCCGTAGTTATCACATAAATATTTGAGAATGTACTTAGTGGACTCGGTTTTACCAGCTCCTGATTCTCCGGATACAATAATTGACTGAGATTGCTTCAACACTTTCATGTCTCTGAATGCATGATCGGCAATTGCGAACACATGCGGAGGTTTAGTCCCAAGGGACTTGCCCAGATAGGACTTAATGGTCTCGCTGTTATAAAGATTTTTCACCTCGAAGTATGGGTTCACTGCGATTAGAATATTTGCAACGTATGTGTATATTTTGTCCTTGGCATATCTGAGTTTAATATTATTGAGTAGAGTTGCTTCGTTGAGATACATGAGAGCACAGTTGTCATCAACCTCTTTCTCCAGGTCATATTCAGCTGGATATATAGCGTCGTATCCAACCTGAACCTGGAGCTGGGACGGATCAAGAGGTTGAACCACAGGACCCTCTTCAGCCAGCTCAACAATCCGTCCCAGGATAAACCCGTTCCCGGAGTCATCGTTGAACCAAACCAATTCATTGGAAATCACGTCCTTTTTAGGCGGGTCATCCATCTGAGAGGAGGCCATGGTGCCGGGAGAGAACCCGGTATTGAACTGGAGTTGGACTGGACAGCTGAGGAATACGGTCCGGGTCACGGTTCAGACAGGGGGAGGGAGGGAGGGAGCAAGTGTATGGGTGGGAGACACGGGAGGGTTCACTGGAGATACGGGCACGGCTCACAAGAGACTTTTCTGAAATATGAACAGGATTTAATGACGGCAAGATTACTTTATCAAAAATTATGATTATTCTCAGGGTTTGTGAAATGAGTCAAGATACGTCTCTGGTGAGCCATGCGTGATATAAGTTGAGATAAATGTTTCAGAATAGGGTCTAACTAATAGCCGGGGGGCAGGGTTGGTTATATTCTTCAAAACAAAGAAACAAAATTCATATTTTTTTTATTGTTTATCGTGGAAAACTATTAACTTGTTGAAAACACACCAAAATGGTGTGAAATATATATTTCCGTGTTAGGTTTGGGATGAGTCAGATTGAACACATGGATCAGTTTCTGCCTGTTTCTAGGTTCACCCCAGACTTGAGGAGTCCCTCCCTAAACTAATCCTAACCTTTTAACTCCCTTACTCTCCGCTTAATCTTGTAAGCTTGATTTCATTTCCTTTAGGCTTCTAATTCGTGTCAACATTTTCATTCAATCTTTGTTTTAATTTCACATCTCTAAACATAAAACCAGTCTCCCCTTCCCTCTCCTTTCTCTACGATTAAAAAAAATTCTGTATTAACAACTCTAATTTTTTCCGTTCAAAAACAGGTTTTATCCTTATAATCTAATGATTTCTACTGCTTCATTCAAACCTACATATCTGAATTCATTCCTATATCTCACATATACTTCTCCGTTCTTCTCTTCCAGTCCATCCTCATATTCAACCAAACTCTTCCTTCATTTAACAATCAACCCTAACTTCTCCATTCTATTTTTCCAAACCATCTCTCACACTAAACCAGATTCTTCCTTCCTTCATCTAACAACCAACCCTAACTTCTCCGTCCTACTCTCTCAACCCATCCCTTATATTCAACTAAGCTCATGCTTCTCACAAATACAAACAAGCACAACCTTTCCTTTTCTATCCAAAATTTATTTCCTATACTAAAATTTGTCCTACATATTCAACAAAACCTAACTTTCTCCTTTTTTTCGAACCTTCTAAGCATAAAATCCTTCCCAATATCGAACCTTACCTAATCTTTTCCTTTAATTATTGAACCTTCTGCCTTTATAATCCTTCCACTTTATTAAACCAATACTCTCCTTATTCGTTCCCGTATGTATTTAGAAAGGAATCTAACCCCACGTTCACATTTCTTATCCTTCTCTTCACCCTTCTTTGCAATGCATACACAAATTATCAAACTTTTAAATTCTGTTTATTGCTGGCATTTATCAACTGATGAGCTTTACGACCATATAATGTATTATAATTACCCCCCCCTCCAATCCATAAAAAACTTTCTATCTCCCCTCTGCATGATTCACTGGAATATCCCTGTTATATATAGAAACCTTTCAACTAGGAATCTGATCAGGTTTAAATTTTTTACTCGGAATTTAAATAAAAAATAAATAATCATTTGGGATTTTACATTTCTACAGTGTATCTGACAAATAGGTATTAGGTAATCTGAATCAATATTTGAAATATATGCAAAGGAATTGAGTTTTTGCCACTAACTATTTTTTAATCCTAACATCTTTGCAACCCGACAAGACCTTTGATATTTCGAACTATGAACTCTGTTAGATAAATATGTCTAAGTTTGAAATATCATAAGGTTTTCGCCACCAGGTAACAAAGATATCGGGATTAAAGAAATGTAGTTTGTGGCAAGAGCTCAGTTGATGACATTTTTTGACATAAAATGTTAAAATACATTATTTTTATATTAAATAAATTAAATACAAGTAAGTTGGAGAAAATTCCCTGAATTAGAATTAATGGTCTCCTAGCTTAATGTTATTTGTTAATTAACAGTATATTTTCCAGCTAGCTTAGTTTCCTCTTAGGAAAGTCTGTTTACACAATCAGTTGTATTTCTGTTAAAAATTTGATAAACCTAGAGACGAATATTCTCTTAAAATGTCGCCCTCCCCCCTCACTCTTTTTTTAAATATTTTAATCTTAGTTTAAAAAAAGTATCATTTCAACACAAACAGAGAGTTTGTTATTAATTTCTTTTATATCTTCATGGACTACAAGTAAAATGGGTTTTGTTTATATTAAAGAAAAGCTTAAGTTAGATAGTTTTTGTTGCTGTTTTTATATTGAAAATTATTTTTAATAGTTTAAAACTACTGCTTTTAGTTAATATAAACAATATTGTGATATAAGAGACTATTATTATTAAAGGAGAACCTCTTACGCTCTTATAAACACAAAAGCGTGAAGACATTAATTAACAAATTGTTATCAGTTCTTTGATAAAAAATTGGATTATGAAATTTTAATTTATCTTTATCAACGCAAAGTTGAGTTTAATCTGCACAATGAGTATTTAAAAATTTGATTTTTATCCCTATGCAACAAGTAAGATAAAATCAGTTCTCCTCCTACAAGATCAAACCATCTTCGGAAGGAGGACAGGTGCGGAGAGGGAACGTGGTATGGATAAAGGGTCAATCTAAGGTATAAAGAGGGAAATTTGACTATGCAGAGAGGGGTGTGGTTGTAATAATGGGACAATTCGAGGTTTAAAGAGAGGTATGACTATGGAGGGAGGAGCGGAGAGGGAACATGATAGAAATAAACAAATAAATAAATAGAGGGGGAATTCGATATTAAAAGATGGGTGTTGACTATAGAGAGAGGAGCGGAGAGGGAACGTGATAAGAATAGAAGGGAAACTCGAGATTTTAAGAGGGGTGTTGAATATGGAGAAAGGAGCGTAGAGGGAACGCGATAGGAATAGAGGGAAAACTTGAGGTATAAAGAGGGGTGTTGAATATGGAGAGAGGAGCGGAGAGGGAACGTGATAGAAATAAAGCGGAAACTCGAGGTTTAAAGATGGGTGTGGACTATAGAGAGAGGAGTGTAGAGGGAACGTGATAGGAATAGAGGGGAAACTCGAGGTATAAAGAGGGGTGTTGAATATGGAGAGAGGAGCGGAGAGGGAACGTGACAGAAGTAGAAGGAAAACTCGAGGTTTAAAGATGGGTATGGAGTATTGAGAGAGGAGTGTAGAAGGAACGTGATAGGAATAGAAGGAAAGCTCGAGGTATAAAGAGGGAATTTAATATGAAGAGATGGGCGGCGAGGGAACGTAGTAAGAATCGAGGCAAAGTTCGAAGTTTAAAGAGGGGGGGGGGGGTTGCCTTCGGAGAAAAACGGCGGCAAACCGCAAAGTAGAATTTCTTTAAGATTTAATTGCGCTGAGTTTAAATTGTTTTTAGAGTAGAAAAAAGGGATCTTTGTAAGAACAAGAATTATTAAATGTTCGCGAGTAAAAGAATGCTATTTTAAACTTATGTTTATTTATGCATATTTATTTTCTAGATAAGATTGACATTTTAATTTTAGAATAAATTCGAATTAAAAATTTACAATATATGAGCCAGACTAGTATATGAGTTTCAAACAGAATTCTTAACGAATAGAAGTATTTGATCAAAATTACGAAATCTTCAAAATAAATTACAAGTTACTTTTGTTGTTACCTTCAGTTTGTTTGAGTTGAGTAACCAGATAAAGGTGAGATTTGTAACATTATCCTTACACAGCTTCCTAGTAACATTCAAAGGTAACAGAAAAGTTGAGATTGGAAAACATTATCCATGCACAGTTTCCTGGTAACATATAAAGGTAACAGAAAAGTTGAGATTGGTAACATTATCCATGCACAGTTTCCTGGTAACATATAAAGGTAACAGAAAGTGAGATTGGTAACATAAACCTAACACAGCTTCCTAGTAACATATGAACGTAACAGATTAGGTAATAGGCGCCAGGACAAACTCCGGAAAGACAAACTCCTGACGAGACAAACTCCTGAAGAGACAAACTCCTGAAATTAAAAACTTTTGAAATACAAACTCCAAAATATCAAATTTAAAAAAATGTTTCACAATTTATATTAAATCTAGCCGCAGCGCTCGGCCCAGAAAGTGTCATAACTTAACCTAACCCATGGCCGCTGCGCTCGGCCCCCTAGCCTGTCCTAGCCGCAGCGCTCGGCCCAGAAAGTGTCTTAACTAACCTAACCCATGGCCGCAGCGCTCGGCCCCCTAGCATGTCCTAGCCGCAGCGCTCGGCCCCCTAGCCTGTCCTAGCCGCAGCGCTCGGCCCAGAAAGTGTCTTAACTAACCTAACCCATGGCCACAGCGCTCGGCCCCCTAGCATGTCCTAGCCGCAGCGCTCGGCCCAGAAAGTGTTTTAACCTAACCTAACCCTAAATAATAAAAAATAAATTATAATAAAGCTGGTTATTCTGATCATTGTAATACTTTGCTGCTTGGAACATATTCAAATTACTAAAGATTGAGAATTTTTTCTAGAATATTTGCGGATTTTGTCTCCTAAAGTTTATGAATTTTATCATATTTCATTCAGAGAAAATTTTCATTATTTCAGGAGTTTGTCTTTCAGGAGTTTGTAATTTCAGGTGTTTGTCTCGTCAGGAGTTTGTCTTTCAGGAGTTTGTACTTGGAGTTTGTCTCGTCAGGAGTTTGTCTTTCCGGAGTTTGTCTTTCAGGAGTTTGTCTTTCCGGAGTTTGTATTTCCGGAGTTTGTCTTTCCGGAGTTTGTCTTTCCGGAGTTTGTCTTTCCGGAGTTTGTCTTTCCGGAGTTTGTCTTTCAGGAGTTTGTCTTTCCGGAGTTTGTCCTGGCACCAGGTGATATTAGTAACATTATACATACACAACTTCCTAGTAACATATTTAGGCAACAGAAATTTGAGATTGATAACATTATCCATACACAAATCCTAATAACCTATTAAGGTAACAGAAAACTTAAGATTGGTAATATTATTCATAAACAGCTTCCTAGTAAGATATTAAGGTAACAGAAAAGTTTAAATTGGTAACATTATCCATTCACAGCTTCCTAACAACATATTAAGATAACAGAAAAAGGGAGATTGATAACATAATACTACCTAGTTATAGACAGGGTTTTCTCTAGGTCCGTATACAGCTGCGTTCTAATATTCCAAACCAATTCTTGACTTTGGCAGTAAACAGGGATTATACCTGAAATTAATTGATATAAATTAGAGAAATAGAACAATACGAAAAATGGAAATTGAATTTTTTTCTTTCTTTATTAAATATTTAATTAAGAAATCCGACTGACTGAAGAAGAGAAGTAAAATTTTAAACATTGGTATGTGAAGAAAGCTTAAAATAATGCCTCTATCCCCCTCAACTAAGCTTTCAGTGTGCACTGCAGTAATCTTCCGTACACTGACCGAAGATATAGTAGCTTTTAGTTGACAGTGCTAAATATATATTAAATATATTAATATTACCAAGAAGAACTCTCCACACACTACTCCTGTATATGCCAGGGACTGCAAACCTGGACAAATTTATCACTTAAAAAAAATTTAAAAAAATATTAAAACCTCAAATTGACAAAACAGCAAATTAAGCAGCATTTGGAAAATCGAAAGGGTCTGTCTTAGTATACGATTTTTGGACCTTTACAGAAAATATTCATTTAATTAATTTTTTTNGGATCCGATCGGATCCATATCATTTGGTCGGATCCGGATCCGTAACAGGAAATTTGATATGGATCCGGGTAGCGCCAAAAATTAACCAAAACCATGGAATAAATAAATCAAAATGGTTCGTGAATGTATTATTTACATGACGAAAATTTTTTCAAAATTATCTTTATGGGTCCAAAAATCGTATACTAGGAAATTACCAATCGAAAAATTATGGTCTTAAATGTATTAAACCCATTTTCTATTGTGCAACTATTTTCTCATTCACTTAGGATCCTACCTGAGACAGAAGTTATGAAGTTTCTCCCGATCTATTGGTTTCTCATTGAGAAGTATGTCAAGAGATTTCTTTTCCTCTACTCCTCTAAATAGTTTAAATATTACAAACTGTTTTGGTAAGCTCAATGAGTCAATTTTTAATTTTCAATAATTAACATTTTTGTTATAAATTCATAGCACCCTCAAAGGAGAATGAAACACAAAATCCAAAGATAATTTAAATTTAAGATTTTTACAATTATAAAGTATGATGAATGATAGTTTAACTTTTAGGTTTTTAAATTATTAATTAAATCTTTGTAAGAAGGTTATTTCTGCGGATAGTTTATGAACGGTTAATTTCTAAAAAATTCACCTAAATCCAACTTTTTCATAATAATGAGATCTAAAGTTTTTCTCCAACACGGCCATTATTCATTTTCTGAAAAAACGAGAAAAATATCAAGAAAATAGAACAGAAGGTTGATCAATGGACGCATCAGCTCATGAGATGATGTTGACCACCAATAATCTGCTGGAGCTCGTGTTCTATCTCAGACATCACTGCTCCGCCTCGGGTCGTCCCTGGTAACTCGGATGTTTTCGCGCGAGCTTTCCGTTCAACGGGTTTAAATTTTCCTCGGATCCCATCATTCAATCCCTCCCGGTTGCGCGCTATCTCTATAGCAAGGAACTGGATTTTAATTGAGATTATAGTATTGCTTTCGGAGTAGTCCTCGGAGGCATCTAGCCGGAGGAGAGCTCCCAGACTAAAATCCTCAATATGATGATGATTGTCTGCAAACAACCTCCACACGGCCTTGGCGTCCTCCGACTTCAGATCAGCCTCCGTGAGTTTTACCAAGCTAAGGTTTGGGAATGTATCCCGGAACTCTCTATATATTGCATCATCACTCTCCTGGGATCCTAGCAGAATATTAGTTCTAGCAATTTTAGCGCTTTGACAGGGTTAATGACAAGAAAAGATATAAAAGGAAGGATGTTTTTTTTTGAAGAAAGCTTAAATTAATAACCCCAGGCCCCATCCCTTCCTTTTGTGTAGTCCCTTTCAAGGAATTTGTTCAATTATTCTAACCGAAATAAAAATATAAAAATTTATTTAAAACATACAAATAAAGATTTAAAATAATTCAGATCCATTGTTTAACCTTGTGAAAAATTCCGTCTGAATATTATTTCAGTTCTATTAATCTTCCCGTTTGCCCCCTGAATTCCGCGAACAACCCCTAAAATCATTATGAATTATTAAATGAGCTGGAACTAAACCATGCCTGTTAGTTTAAGCCTGGACGGTTCAACAGAACAGAGAAGGTTAAAATAAACCTCGGCGTGGTCCATAGCCTACAAAGAATAAGGTTATTATTAAAAAAAATAAGAATGAAAAATGTTTACTACAAATGAAAGAGGGCCAAGAAAATTAGCTTGTCACGGAAAATATTAATGTTTTTCCTATAATGACCTCTCAGTAAGTCGCTTGGGAATATTCCAACATAAAAATCAACGAGGATTAAGAATGGAATGCGCGGTATTGGTATTAGAGTTATTGACGGTAATAAATTAGTAAAATTTCTCAACTTGAAATTTGAATAAAAAATATGGAGAACTATAATATCTCCGTACTCTGTAATCTTTCTAAACGACAATTGTTTTTAATAACAAGAGATTTAGTGTTTTCCGAAATACACGAGACCAGAGGACGAAACTTATACACGGAATAGCGCTTAGGTTCGCCGTCTGAGCTGAACTTTATACTGTCGATTAAAGGAACTGTTAGGTGTAATTTCAGGTGACCCTCCAGATGAAAATGCCCGACTTACAGCGATACAATTAGAAGCTTTATCCGAAACGGTTTATTTTAATTCGAGGTTCCTTTGCAAAAATGGCATGCGCATTTCTCGCCCATAAGAAACAATGGAGAAATTCATGGAAATAAACACTTGAATTAGAAAAATCGTACACATTTTGATCTGGTTAAGGTTTCAAGGGTAACGTTAAAATCAGGCATTTCCATATTTGCATTGAGAGTCAATTGAAATTATGCTTACAGTCACATTAAGTATTCACTAAGTTACAGCGTTTCGGATCCGGATCCGGTCGGATCCGTATCATTTGGTCGGATCCGGATCCGGATCCTAAGCACTGACTGCAGGGCTGAAAAGATGAAAAAGGAATAATTAGTTAAAACCATTTATTTAAAAGTGTTTGTTTGTTGGTTTCCTTGTATGTTCTTGAATCAATGAAAGTGACGAGATCCTCCTTGTTTCCGACAGCAATAGTTTTACCATCAGGAGACCAAGAGATGTTTATATTCTCACCCTGTAATTATCATTTGAATATCAGGATATGCTTATATTCTCACCCTGTAAATATAAGTTGACTATCAGAAGATGTTTTTATTCTCTCCATGTAATGTTAATTATACCATCAGGAGTAATGAGTAATTCTAAAGAATGATTCATTTAAAGACTAGTTTAATGTTTTTAAATTAACAATTTAATAAGTCTAGAATGAATTTTCTTCAAGAATGATCTTCTGAAGAATGTTTGATCAAATAGATAGTTTTACAACTGAACGTGTCAATAAACACAAAAAGATTTAAAAACAAAAATCACAAATTTTTTCTTTCATTTTGAAAATACCTTTGTATTGATTGTAGTGACTGCTTTATTTGATTTAGTATCCCAGATCCTGTAAAAAAAAATAGTAAAATACAGATAAAATATTGTTACTAGTGTTGCAATATTGAATTCTAGGATTACTCAGCGGCAAATGCTCACATGGCGCAAATTTCAAATATATAAAGTATTCACAGAATCAAAAGTTACCTCGGATCCGGATCCGGATCCGTATCAGAGTCAGGATCCGGATCCATCATCACGGATGCGGATCCGCGGATCCGGATCCGCATCAAAATGATACGGATCCGAAACACTGCTAAGTTGAGATAAAAAGTTTCGCCGTCAGGTAAACTAGATAATTGTGATAACCTTCATGGCCCAAAGCTGTTCAATTCTGCCGTCGTTCCCGAACTCGTCCGCAGAGCTACCAAGCACACTTTGAGCAGCCAGCAGTCCCTCAGCTCCAACTCCATGGTTTACTATTGACATTCTGCAAACATTCAGGAGTTCAAGGAGTTCATAAAGTACATGAGAAGAAATACAAAGATTATGGAGATAAGTACATAGATAACTGAAAATATGTTAGACAAAAGATCTCAGGAGTTCTCGACTGTTGATTGTTCACAAAGCTGAGCGATCGTAAAGAAAAACTTGTTAAATACTTATTTGGTTTGATCCATGTATTTACGATGTTTTCAGAGTACAGGTGAATAAAAATAAATGCAGGTACAGCAGGTGTTGAAATCATTAGTCCGAAGGGAAACCCCAGACCTTAAGACTTCCAGCATCTCGATCCTTGGCATACTTATCCTTGTCATCACATGCATAAGCTAGCAGGTACCTGTAATATTAGTAGTAGTAGATATTTAAACAGTTCACTTAAAGATGTTAAGGGAAAATTAAGACTTTTGATGATGGGAAAAATATAAAAAATGTGCGATTTAGATTATGGAGATATCTTCCTAAGATACACCTAAACCCTCATATCTTTGATAGCGTGTAAAAAATTAAAATACAGTTTCTAGGAAGTACATAGAAAAACTCGGCCTAAGTAGCGCTGGGTTTAATTACTCTGCATTAGGATTGCAGTACGATTTTGAAATAAACAAATAATACATTTTTCTTGTTCCTGTTTGTTAATCTAAAACATTGAGATTGCTTATTTTCAAAGGGTTCTATTAAAAAATAATTCTACTGTATCAATTCTCAAGCTATGGATATAGAAAAAACTACAATATATTAACATTTCTGAAATAAAGAAAAAAAACTTTGAAAAGTGTGCATGAACATTAAAAATTAGATGGATATTCTCTGAACACCCTATTGTACCTGGATGGATGCCAGGATATTGTGAAAGTTGGAGAATCTACTGGTATCTCTGCAACCTTCTCCGTAGTGTCCACGTGACCAATGTCTATCTTCATATCTTCACTGGCACTCGCTAGCAGGGCAGCATCGTGACTGAAGGAGATCGTTCGAACCTGACCGTAGAAAGAAAACTATTAAAATGAATTTAATAAGATTCTTTACAATTCACGTTTTACCCTTAACACCCCAACCCTTTCACATTTTTAAATATTGTATCCAGCTTATCTAAATCATTATCAGCTTAAAATACTTGAACTCATTCTATACTCAATCATTAAAACTTTGCTGTCCAATAAGGGAGGAGAGAATGAGTTTAAAACAGACATAAAATGATTCTGTTACCTCAAAAGTTACCAGCTATTGCATTCTTTAAGGCCTAACAGCTAAAATAAAATTATTAAATTATTGAAAATATTGACTTACCGGCCATTCTAGCCTTGAGAAGGTTTTTATGCAGGTCAACTCATGTGCGTCCCACACAGATACAAGAGCATCTGCACTTCCGGTAGCAAAATACCTTAACATAGAAATTATTAAGTAAATAAATAAAAAAGAATTATAAATACATGTTCAAATTATTCCTATGTAAAAAAATAGACGCAAAGTTAATAATGTAACGTTCAAAACCTATCTATGCCTACTCCTAATGCGAAAATGACCTGCACAATAATTTGTTTTTACTATTTAAAGTCAGAGTGCTGTAAACAATATTTATTCTGTTGTTACCCTCCATAAATTCCTAAAAATTTCCTATACAGATACAGTTCCTGGATGTATGGTATAATATATATATTGTATTGTATACCTGCCACATCTGGAGTACTCTATACAGATACAGTTCCCAGGATGTATGGTATAATATAAATATATTGTATTGTATACCTGCCACATCTGGAGAATTCCATACAGATACAGTTCCCAGGATGTATGGTATAGTATATATTGTATTGTATACCTGCCACATTTGGAGAACTCTATACAGATACAGTTCCCAGGATGTATGGTATAATATATATATTGTATTGTATACCTACCACATCTGGAGAACTCTATACATATACAGTTCCCAGGATGTATGGTATAATGTACATATTGTATTGTATACCTGCCACATCTGGAGAACTCTATACAGATACAGTTCCCAGGATGTGCCTGAATTATATGTTGCACCTCTAGCTCTGGCCATGTTAAAACCTTCAAAATAAAAGCTTCTATTTTTTGATGAATTTTTTAATTTAAGTTATTTTTGAATCAGGGTAACAAGTGATTATGTTGAATTTTTATTAACTTTATGAAAAAAAAAACTATTGGGAAATGAGATCCTTTAATCATCTTGTTTTTCAACGATTCTATTTATCTTTGTATAAAAAGGAGTAATCTCATAGTATCATAACTCAAGAACCTCTTGACCGATATGCCTAAAATTTGTATTGGGAAACTCGACAGAACCACGGGAATGATCTTAGTTCATAGCTTGGTTAGACTATTCTAAGTTTAGTAGGTTGACATATACAGAGAAAGTTTATTTTCCAAGCAAAGCTGGGTTTCTAAGCTAGTTCTATAGCAACTCAAAATCATGATGTTACCTCTATACAGCCCTGTCCGTTGGTGAGAAAGAATAGATCGTTCTCCAGGTTCCAGGAGATCTCGTTGGTTTCAAACTTTGACTGCTTCTCACCCTTCACCTGCAGTACCACCAACACAACTTAAATCAGGCCAGAGGTTGAAGGTTTCAAGGAGAATATTGCTTAGATTAACTTAGTAATTGAATTCAATATCCTCTTTGAAAGTTTCAAGTCTTTAAAGTTGTCCCCGTCGTCTGTGCGGAACAGTCACAGGCTTAAATTACAAAAGTTTCACCGCCTCCAGATTTTTTAAAAATATTATTTTACCATCTACGTTCTTCACCCCTGTCCAGTCTCTTTCAAACGTACTTTTTATACTATTAATAGTCTATCAAAACTTAATCTTATCTGTACCACATTTTTGATATTCATAACATTAATAAGTTTGTCTAGCTTGTTAAATAAAATATAATCCGAAATGTAGGGATCTGCTTCCAAGTTTTAGATCGGTGTAAGTCCTTTATTTTCCCTAATTCAACGAATAAAAGCCAAAAAAATGTTTAATTTAAGAAAATATACTCCACTGCAGGCAGTGCTTAGGATCCATTTAATTTTGATGAGGATCCGGATCCAGATCCTGGATCCGCACTGGAAAAAAATGGATCCGGATCCAGGTCATTTCTTTAAGATTTACTGAATTTTCAATTTTCTTTTTATTTTTTTTTCGCTTGTTTTTATCCTAAAAGTTGATGAACCATTCAAAAATGAGGAAATTTTTATAATATCTCTTTTTTCAAAAGTTCAGATTTGGGGTTTAAGAGTAAAAAAACTTTTTTTTTGCAGTTTTTGGTTGATATTTTACCCCTTGGATCCGGATCCGTGGATCCGCATATTTTTGCGGATCCGGATCCAGGAAGCCAAAATCTTGCGGATCCAACGGATCCGGATCCTAAGCACTGACTGCAGGGCTGAAAAGATGAAAAAGGAATAATTAGTTAAAACCATTTATTTAAAAGTGTTTGTTTGTTGGTTTCCTTGTATGTTCTTGAATCAATGAAAGTGACGAGATCCTCCTTGTTTCCGACAGCAATAGTTTTACCATCAGGAGACCAAGAGATGTTTATATTCTCACCCTGTAATTATCATTTGAATATCAGGATATGCTTATATTCTCACCCTGTAAATATAAGTTGACTATCAGAAGATGTTTTTATTCTCTCCATGTAATGTTAATTATACCATCAGGAGTAATGAGTAATTCTAAAGAATGATTCATTTAAAGACTAGTTTAATGTTTTTAAATTAACAATTTAATAAGTCTAGAATGAATTTTCTTCAAGAATGATCTTCTGAAGAATGTTTGATCAAATAGATAGTTTTACAACTGAACGTGTCAATAAACACAAAAAGATTTAAAAACAAAAATCACAAATTTTTTCTTTCATTTTGAAAATACCTTTGTATTGATTGTAGTGACTGCTTTATTTGATTTAGTATCCCAGATCCTGTAAAAAAAAATAGTAAAATACAGATAAAATATTGTTACTAGTGTTGCAATATTGAATTCTTATTGAATTCCACAAAATCTAACATAATAGAAAATACAGATAACATATTGTTACTAGTGTTGCAATATTGAATTCAGCATGATCTAACATAAAATAAACATAACCCTACAACTACTTTTGGTATATCATCAAACGTTTCCTTTTCGTAAATTACAAAAAATAAAAATAATAAAACGTCACGAATTTATCTGTTTCCCGGGATAAAGTAAGGTCATACAGACAGTTTAAACGTTAAGTGCCATGAATAATGTAAACAACCAAATTAACCGTCAAATCAAGTCTAGATATAAATAAGAAACTTCTCTGACCTGACTGTTTTATCTCCCGAGGCTGTAGCAAGAAGATCTGGATTTATTGGATGCCAGCAGAGCTGGTCTACTGAATCCGTATGTCCCTAAATCAATGAGTTTGTAAGTTATGAGGGATTTAATAAATCGCGAAAAGTAGACCCACTTTTCTTCATTAAATCTCCTCCCAGGTTGGAAAAATCGCATTTCAATTTTTACCGTAAGGTTTTTGTATATCTTTTGTATACTTAATAAAAAATTTCAAATACGGTTAATAGATAATATGGGATAATCACTGAAACTAATAACTAACTACGGTTTGCTAAACTTTTTTTTGGTACCGTTCTTAGGGAAAAAATTAATTTAATTTCCAAAAGCAAAATGTCAAAAAGTGAAATTAAAGCAAACATTTGAGAAGTGTCTTTAATTAACTTTAAAGTGGACTGTCACTATGACCAGTTTGGATACATGGGATTGTTTTTTTTTTGGATTAAAATAAAAGAAAAAAGATTATAAAAAACACTGTGTGCTTACCTTAAAAACATGTTCTTTGGCCAATCTTTCCGTTCCCAGAGTAAATATACAAACTGTCTTATCGTAGGATCCTGAAAACAAGAATAATACAATATTTTGACAAAATCTAGCATTAAAAAATGAAGCTTTTATTTGAACTCGCGGGAATATTTTCAATAATATCGGGAATTTTTATTAGCTTTTTCCAAAATATTTTCCCCTTATACAGTATACACATTATTTTCATTTTTAAAACTTCAAAAATAAATAACTTATGAAGAAAAACAATCTGAGACACCCCCTCCCCATACGGTTGGGATGATTTGTTTACTCTAGTAACCTACGATACCTGAAGCCAGCTTTTTCCCATCTGTACTCCAGTCTACAGTATGAACCTTCCCTGTGTGAGAAACCATCTCCCTTGTCTTCTGGTTCCTTTTAAACCTAAAAAATAAAAAGTTATCAGACAACAATTTAACGGAATAATATTGTGGGGTGGTTAGAATTTAACACGGCACAGAAAGGTAGTTGAACAAGTAACAGTTAATCAAAATACATTTCCCGATCCGGATCCAGCTTAGTAATATTTCTGAAACTAACTTACAAAAATTTATATTTTGGCTATTTTGTATGCAGAAACTTGATTTACAAATGAATCATTGGAAAACATATTTTTCGATGTAGCGGTTGAAACTTCGGATCCGAAGATGAGCATATTTTTGAGGATCCAAAATAATCTATTTTAATTCCGCAGAGCAAAGCATTATTCAATCCGTTCCCTAAATCTATCACTTTTTAAATTCAATATTATGTCTGAACCTGAATTTTAGCAAGTCACATAAATAAGGATAAATTTTTTTCCAAATCGGCCGCTTCGTCTATAAATGCATAAAATTCGCCTGTAATAATAACTTAAAAATAATGTAAAACTCTTACTTCGTGTCAAGATGTTTAGTTCTACAATTCTATTAAAATAAAACCATGTCCATATTCGAATGGAGTTTCAAACAATTGAAAAAGGTTGAAAATAAATTTTTTTCCGCTTTGTTCCTTTGGACTAGACTTGATATGCGTGTAAAAAGATCTTCATTGAAAGAATACTAATTTCTCGAGATTCTTACAGATTTCAAAATCAAAATCCAATTAAAATCAAAAACAATATTAAAAACAGACAAACATAGATTACGGTTTAGTTATTAAGAATTTAATAGATAAAGTGAAACTTAAAAATGAAAAAAAAACTTACTTTGATTTGAAATCCTCAACTGCCTTGATCTGCATTTTGAAAAAGATTTTATTTTCTGAAATTTTAAAATGTCGTAAATATGTAAAGTATGTTTATATTCGATAAAAGAATACACTATGAACCGACAAAAATCTATTAAAAATCTATAATTTATGGTTATTACTACTATTGTGACAATATAAGAAATACACTACCCATACACTTTAAAGCTATTAATTATTATGTAAGAGCGTAGAAATAAACATTAAACAGTGAATCTACTCTACATCATCCAGACCCATAGCTTGAGGAAAATCCATCAATTTCGAGTTTATTGCAGGAATTTAATTTTATTAACATACCAAACTTGGATTGTTTCGTATTATCAGGAAGAGATTAAACTACATTCTCAAGGGAAGAGATTGGAACAGACTTTAATAATATTTCTTAACACTTAGTACGGTTTCCAGCGTGGATTAATTTCGGAGAAGGCCTAAACGTTTCAATATCTCTGCGATAGATTCATGATGAAATGCTTATGAACCTCTGTGAAGAATTAAAATTTTAATAAGAATTCTACACTACAGTCTACAGTGCTGTTCTTAATTAACCAGAATAATTTATTAATTGCTTGAATACTAACTGCTAACTGTTTTAGGTTCAAAGACCACTTTTGAGTCCTCAATCAACTAATCAATTATTTCGGTATAAATCTAGATCTGGCAGAGATGATGCTTAAACGGAAATCCGAATTTTTAAAAAGGAATACAAAATCTGATCTATGATAAAAGTCGGAAAATGATTCCTTAGTCCAAAACTGAATCCTAATATCTCCGAAAGTTTGTTCTGTTTTTTGACGACAGAAAATGTGGAAATTTCCTCTAACAACATTTTTTCAAAAAAGAATACTTTAATAAATACAATAAATATGATTTACAAATCAAGGAACTGTTTAAGTTAAACAATACATCAATATTTTTTACATAAAAACTTTTTTTGAGAACTTCATTAGTTTTTCTGCTTAATATTAAAACAAATAAAAAAAGGCAAGAAATACTTTTTTTGCCACAACTTCCCGTTTACCAATACATTAATAATACCCTTTAATAGTTATCAAAAGGTGAACAATAATGAGCCTTCAGAAAAACATTACATTTATACAATATTACAAAAAGAAAAATAATTTTTTTTTCAACAGATATACAAGCTTCAATATAGAGTACAGTTTAGAACTAAATAAATTAACAAAAACTAAGCTGTACTCTCAACTTAAAAATTTAAAATTAAATTTAAATACAAGAAAAGCAAAACAAAATTAGGCCGAACTAATAAACAAAGAGTTGTAATACAATAACAGAACAACCTCCATCCTTCACCTCAAATTAGACTAATGGGTGGGGGATCATTTTTACGGTTTAACAGATCTCCTCGGTTTCTGTCGTCTTTACTTTGCGTAGAAAATATTCATAATTATTCATATTAAATTTTGGCATTCTACCTTCTAGAACACTAAAATTTATATTTAATACACGGAAGACGACAAAGACTAAGTCTGCGATATTGTTCTGTTTCCTCGTACCTACCTTTTAAATAAATATCTGAACTATTACTTTAAATGAAAAAATTATTTTATTCGGTCTCTAGGGACAAAAATGGGTTTCAAATAAACAATGGATTTAAGTTAAGACTTCTAAGTCGTCTTTGTTCCACAAGTCATTTTTTCGTGAGCACAATAAATTTCGGTAGAATCACAGTTAAAACATTAAACAAGAAAAACTACTTTTCAATGTTATTTTCATATTGTGGTCTACCATTTCTAATTAACGGAGATATTAAAAAAATCATCCAAATTCCAATACATTTAAAACAACAAAATTGTTAAAATGTTTAATATCTCCGTCTATTATAAATATACAATTTTTAAAAGCTCACGAGACACAATTTTATTTAATTATCAAAGTAGTCTCTATAATTTCCTAGTTTAATGGGACACCCAATACCTTTAGAAAGGAAAAAAGTGAAGAGTACAATCATCTTTTTACAATTTATCGTGTGTACTGTATAGTACACGCCTGATCTTGATTATACATATTTTGCATTTTCTTCTTTTTCTTCGTACTTCCAACATTTTATTCGAGCTCTTAACATTTTACAGAATGTGAACTGATCAACGTCTAACATGATTTATTCAGCAATTTGCTTTCGTTTTAACTTTATCTTTGACTGTGTCTGTTTACACTATATTATGAATGCCCAACTTCTCCTTCTATCCCGTAAATTTTGATTTTTTACCTAAAACAAAACACAGAAATTAGAGCTAAAAGAACAATTTTAGATAACGTATTTTCCTAACTGTCTCTCGTTTGTAAAAGATTAAATTGAAGTGACCCATCATTTATAGAGTGTTCTAGAGAATCTGAATGGCGGTACTTAATTATCCAAAAATTCTTAATCTCACAAACGATAGTGGAGAAAACTTAATTTTTCTCCTTTAAAATAAGCAATCTGCAAATTGATGGTTTTGACAAACACAATATTGCCGATCTTTGTTCTAATCCAGATATTGAAACAACGAAGGTTAAAAGGTTGCTGATGTGATTTTTGTAATTCAAGAAAATTACAAGGACAATACCATAACTTAGAAACATCTCTAAGATCGTCTATTTTTGCTTTTAAAGGCCCATCGTAAACTCTTGGTATTTTTAAGTCACATTATTAATTGAGAAATATTTAATTTTCACAGATGGGCAATTTACAAATTATTAAAGCTAAAGCTCATTTTTTTTAATGAATTGAGGTAAAAATTTAAATGCTTACATATCACAGTATTACATGTCAGTTGATCACTAACATAGGATACTTGAATACTCTGCTATAACAGGTCACCCTCCTGAAATATATATAATTTCAATACAAGAAAATTAAATATCGAAAAAAAACACAGTAAAGCTAGTCGGTGGGGGGGGGGGGGGCAACTCCTAGCTTCTCCTGACTTCTCCACCCCCCCCCCATCTCCCCATCTCCCCACATAGATAGTGAAAACGGAATATTTACAAGCCAAATACTGATCAAGTGGAAAAATGACAAGATTATTGAAATTCTCAAAAAGATTCAACATTCACATTTTCATTCTAAAAAATTTGTTCGTCTTTTTTCAATCAATAATACCTTGATAAGTGGGACGTTATAATCGTCCTCACTATCCGTAGTAACACTATCGTCCGAGAGTTTTATCACTTCATCACGTCCAGTCCGTTTCCTTCCTCGTTCATCGTCCTAAACCAAACATAGCTGAAAACTTCAGAATTGTGGATATAGAGATCAATGCTTAATCTACTCTTTATTTTACTCTTAAGATTAATTTATTCTTACATAAATACCCAGGGAAGTATCTAAAACTTTTGTGTGGAATATTGTTTATCTTTCAAACGCTTGATTTCGATATCCAATGTTAATTTATTTTAAATTGGACGACAAATGATTGATCTGAGGAATTTTGTTATTCTATCAAGGTTATGACCACCACAGGATATCGAAGAGAAATTCCATTAATCGTTAGGTCTGCATAATATGATGATCAATGCGATCTTTCGACTTCTGCATCCTTAATATACTGTATTCGAATCCACGTCCCTGAATAAGAGCCGGATCCTTATTTTAGCATTTCTACCTTAAATATTTCTCCTTCTTCTCCAACCTTGTCCATCTAAATACCTTAGGCCTCCGGTTCTTCTTGTCCTCGTCTATAGAGAAGATGTTGGAGGATGTATCAGGTATAAAGGCTGCTACGAGGATCGCGAGGATGACTAGAAACGCTCCGAATACAAAGGGAGGTCCGGGCATCAAAGCAGAAATCATCTAAATGTTGTTATGATTTTCAAATATTTAAAATGATGATGATGAAGATCAAAGTAAGTCGCTAAAACTCAAAAGACATAAGTCAAACGCAGAGTCAAAGTGGCTGTCAGAGTCGATAGAAATACAAAAACCAAGTCAAAGTAAAAATAGAGTCATAACATTTCAACGTAAAATAGATTTGACAATTTATCAATACACAACAAAAACAAAAAAAGTCAACTTTCCCGTGTGTTACTTACGTCAAAGGTATGATGCTCAGAAGTCTCATTTACTGATGTTGCTGTTTCATGTCCCTTAACAATGGTTCAGATTAAATCTCATTTATTACTTGTTTTCATGCATAATTTTACAAGGGAATAATGATGGAAATGAGACGTACTAACACAAACGGTATTTTACTGAAAAATTTAAAGAAACATTTTACATCTAAGTCTATCTTCATTATAAAAATAAAATAACCCGTCTTCAGACATAATTTAATAATTAACTTGCCGGTGGAAAAAAATCTATTTTTTAGCCTATAACACTCCCCGGCCAACCATGAGTGTCCACAAAAAATTTCAGCAAAATCGGTCCAGCCGTTTGGCCGCGGCTATATGCAACATTATATATATACGAATGTCTTCTTGTTTTATTCAGGGTGGCCAAAACTTTTTTGAACCCATCCGTACAAAAATCCGTACATTTTCAGAAGAAATCCGTACAATCCGTACAATTTTCGAAAAACAATCCGTACAATCCGTACAATTTTTTTTTTTAAAAATCCGTACAATCCGTACATTTTTTTAAACCAATCCGTACATTTTTTTAAAGATCCGTACATTTTTTTTAAAAATCTGTACAATCAGCACAATTTTCGAAAAAAATCCCATTTTTGAAAAAAAAAC